CTTCTCGCTGACATTCGTGAGGCGTCAACAGTGGAAACTTTTAAAAACAGACTTAAGACCTTTCTTTTTAAAAAAGGCATTTTATCTTTAAATATAATAGTAAATTTTAAACATGTATATATAGGTATCATCTCATACTTTGTAACATTTTATTTGAATTTGTAATGATAGCGCTTTAGAATATTTATAGTTTTAGCGCTTTATAAATTAATAAATTATAATTATTATTATTTATGCCATATTTCAATGTCTTCCGTGGCAGAAAAGCAGTTATTCCTCATAACAAAATCGTTATCAATCACCAAGAACCGGATTGGCTGTTTAAAATTTGAATTGTAAAGAAGCAAAAATATGTGGATGCGATCGTAAACGTTTGTGAATGGGAGTGGCGACGATACGAATTTTTGATGCGATTCCACAGTTCGGTGATTTCCGTAATATCGGTAGTACATATAGTTTGTGAAGTGTAAAATTTTGGGCTGGTTCTTGTCACGTCCCGTACTAGATTAAGCCTTGCTTAACTTCGCTATTTTGATGTTTCTGCGACCATTTCTTCGAGACCCAAAGCGCACGAAAGTAAAATACTGCAAGTATACCTCATACACTCATAGCCCAAGGCTTTTATCTCTTTTTTCTACCCCGTTGCACAACTTTCCACCCATCATCCTCGCCATTTTCCTTCTCATCATGACTGCCGTTTGTACCATTAACATCTAAAAACAGAATGACGATTGAAGGGCTCATAGACAGATTTTATGTGGGTGGAGGAGAGTGCGCACCCCCTCAAAAATATTTTGCACCTCCTCAGAAAGTTGTCCCACCTCACCTACAGAAATGTTCACATCCTCTCCCCAGAAATTAAAATGCTCATCGGATTAAATGACAGTAGCGTGATTGAAATAAGGATTATGAGCTAAATAAGACTAGACATCTCCAAATTTCTTGGGGGCTTCGTCCCCTTACCCCTATTACCGATTGTGCCCCCAGATCCCTGCTGCATTTTGCTCAGCGGCACTACAGTATGCGCCCTCTCGCTCACCTCCTCCATGAATTTTCAGCACCCCCCAGAGCAAAATCTGAAAATCCGTTCATGAAAGGGCTGATTACATGGGGGAATTGTCAGTTTTGAAGTATGACAAAGAGTTTCAATCAAAGCATATGAAGTGTACCTAAGTAATAAGTCTCTCAGTCTAAACATGTGGAGTGAAAAAAGGACCGCCATTAATTGTGGATACATAATTATAATACAGATGTTATAATCTGCAGCATATTGCTATATGTCATTTTTCTGACTACGAAGATGCACATTTAGTTAGAGTGGTCGTGTCGACCATGGTTGCAAAAGTCATGAAGCCATGAAACTATATGGTACATCCATATGATAGTACAATTACTATAATAGGCTAACCCGAAGTTCAGCATGTATCCTTCAAAACTTAGTTGAATTTCGAATTCTGATCATCGGGATTGCAGATCATCGGGATTGCATTACGCGAAGCCCGTTTTCCACTATGCGAATTTGTTCGCGAGATGCGACTTTTTCCTTTGTCGGCGTCGCTATTGCATGCTGACGTGATAAGCGATGAACAAATTCGCCTGGTGGAAAACGGGCCTAACCAACCTGAACTGTTGTTTTCATAGCGAACTCCTGTTTCTGGCATATGCGAGTCTTCGCTTTCCTTTATACTCATGTCATCAAATTGTTCGGCAACCTAAAAGACAAAGTTATTGTTGTTAAATTCCAGCGGTTGGTTGCATAGAAAAGTATTTTTAAAAAGTTAACTGTAGTTAGTGAAAAAAACGAACCAATCAGAATCGTGCATTATTATTATTATTATTATTATGTAATATTTAAACAGGAAGCCTAATCAGTGATCTTCACTATTATCAACTAGGGTCCTGTATCTAATATAATTACAAAATAATTAAGACTAAAATAGATAAGAATATGTACTGTACAAGTTAAAAGCTATTAAAGCTCAATGTTCAAATAAGAAACTCTAACTAAGCATCTAAGAAATTCGGTAACTTAACTTTAAAATCATTTAATGTTTCGGCTTTTCGAATGTCAGTGGGCAAATCATTGAGTGTTTTTGCACCAGTAAAATAGAAACTCTTTTTGGCACATTCAAGGCGTACTTTAGGGAGCCTTATCAAGCTCTTATTATTTCTTGTTACGTGATTACTATCAATAATATCGAAATAGTTTTCAAAGTTTTCGCAAATGTCCTTTTTCATGCATCTACAGGGTGTCCCCCAAAAGTACCCTGTATAGAAATTATCCTATTGTTGTTTAAGCACAGGATTTTCTGCGACTGGTAATTAAAAATTCGATTCAATTGTGTTTACGCACTCTTGTGTTCAGCATAGTGCTCAGGGCATTCAAATTATAACAATAGGATAATTTCTATAGAGGGTACTTTATTTACTTTTTTGGGGGGGCACCCTGTATATGTTAAAGTACAAATTTTTCTCATTTGACAATCACCAATTGCTGAAATTTTGACTTTCAGCTTTGATGGATTCTAATCTTGGAAGATAATTGAGCAAACTCTATGCTCAATACTTAACTACACTTTAGTTAACTATACTTTAACTACGAAACGGGCAGTTAAAAAGTAGTTAGGATTTTAATACAACCGGCCTCAGATATATTGTTTGACTGAATCTCGTTCCCAGGATTTTGCTTCAACCCTTACAGGAGAAAAGAACCTGCCTTCCACAGTTCCAGTCAGATTAACTCTGGTGCATTAGCTTGACTTGCTCGAAATCGGCCTCTCACAGGGTTGTTTTCAGGATTATAAACGGAAAGGGAGAGAAGTGACATTCCTCCCACCTGCATTTCCGCGCAACTATAAGTTTACAACTCCCCAACAATAACCACTTTGGGAGGCAGCTTGGAGCAAATCTAGTGCATGAGCATGTAAACAATAATTATGCCTTGATTCTCTTGTCCATTGATAAATACAGTTGCCGGAGAAGGCAGTAGTACGTGGAGTGGATAAATCTCTTTGGGCAACAAATTTGAAGTCGCTGCACCGGTTTTACGAGATGAGGAAAACCTAAATTAGGTGATGCGTTTAAGTGTTTAACATACATGAAATTTTCATGCAAGTATCACATCTTGAATTCTGAGAATGATCGCTCTCACACGTTTCAGCTCTCCTAACTCTGTTCCAAAGAGAGCGACTTTTGGAGAATTTCATAACAAAATGTTTCATTTAAGATGGGTTTTGATCGATGCAAACGGTCAAATAGATACTCGTTTCTGGAATTCATTTTCCTACATGGGAGGTTTGTTACGTATACCTAGATCCGACAACTTTCTATTTCTGAAACATTATTTCCACGCTGATGTGTAGTTTCGAGATCGAACCTATGTATTACTCCCTATACTCAAATCAGCTAAGAGCCGCATAGGAGCCGATTAACAGTCAGAGGTGGAGGTCGAATATGTTGTGTTGTCATTTGTGTGTAAGGCCCCGTTTAAATGAGACCGGAACGAAGTCAAACCAGGACATTTCGTTTCGGTCATATAGTATTATTTATAATAGATGTTTACATGCATGAGACCAGGACGAAAATAATTCTGCCTGCTGGACCGAGCCGACTGACTTCAGACCGGTATGAATTCAGACCGTCAAGAATGTAAACACAAATACATTTCAGACCGGTCTCGGCTGTAACCTTGACACTGGAACAACACATGCTAACAAAAGCCATCTAAAAAAGAAGATTGCCTGGCAAGGGGAGTAAATTGAAAATTTTGTGATTTTCGTACCGGTCTCATGTAAACGGCATGTTGTAATACACATTTGTCTCGTTAAAAGCGTCCAAACGCTCACATGCATCGTCCTCCTTGTTTCCAATGGAAACAATGGTTCTTCACTTTCCATTTTCTTAATCAGCGATCCGCGGAATTGGATATTTTATTATTACTAACTCTCCTTTGTAAAACCAGGGGAGCGATTTGACATTCTCCTGCTTTCTACAAAATTCAGCGGCTGAAGAATATAGATTTGAACATTCGCTATACCATTGTATGCTATGTTACTGGAAGTCTGGAAATTCATTATTTTCTTCATACACCAAGAAAAAGGTATTTTTAATTACTGTATTTTAACACCTGTAGTTAAACGTCCGTGAATTATAAAATTTTATACATATTAAAAACAATAAACTGAACCCCATATAATTGTACACAATAGCAAACTTACACCGTTTTCTTGTATTTCCATACCGTCTTCATTATTATCTTCACATTTTACATTAATTTGTGGTAATCTTACAGACTTTATTTCTTCTGCCACTTTGAAATGCTCTCCTTTCTTACACAGATGATAGTAATTGCACAGTTTCTCAGAAACCTTAAACAAGCCAGGAGTAAAAATTATACAATGTGAGGTCTTACGATATATGTGAGACCACGTTACACGAGACAATATTTGCTGTAACTTGTAATGACATTTCAGGTGCAGAGCCGTGTTATCTAAAATGTACAGTAGCCACAGATAAATTTGAGCATGGCCTGCATTCTACTCTGTCTGTCGACACTTTCTTTACATAACCTAACTCTTAAGGGATAAAGGATATCATATTTCTTTCATTTTCCACCGGCTGACAGTTTCAGAAAATGTAAAACTAATGTTATTCGAAAAATATATGTATTTTCACAACACATCTATTTTAAAAACTGTATATTTCGAATCTATTTTGATTCATCTTCAGCAGAGGATTCAGGCCTTAAAATATCTTTTATAGGACCGTCTGACAAAATGTCCGATGACTTTGAGTTTGGTTCGGATATACTATACGACTGTACATGTATGATGATGTCCCATGACCTTCAGTTCGGTTTGGCTCGGAAATAAATCTAAATGACACAAATTAATATCACTGAATGGCAAATGTTGTGAAAATATTAAATAATTCGTGTCTTTCATATTTACTTCCAAGCCAAAATTAACTTGCTTGCCAATAATTCACTTAAGCCCGTGTCGGGTCGGACAAACAATAAACATCAGTTTCACTTAGGTCAGATAGAATGTCCGGTGGTGATGTAGAGACATCGGACAATTTCACGAACGGGTTGGACAATGTCCGTGACCGACCGATATTTTAAGGCCTGTATCTTTACAAGATATCTTGTAAAGATACTGCTGAAGATGAATCAAAATAGATTCGAAATACACAGTGTTGTTAAAATGCATACTTTTTTTTGGAATAACATTAGTTTTATATGATGATGTCATATGATGAATAGCCTGCATGGCAGGCGGTCCCTAAAATCGGGCAAGCCTGGGAAAGACCGCCGGCTGGGTTTGGCAGTATACTGTAATCGAATTCCCCGTCCACCAGTGGACGGGAATTGATGATTGGCTGCGAGTCTGAGCCGCTGTCACTCAAAAGTGAATACGCTTTAATATGTAACAAGCGTTTACTGTAATGATGCGTTCGCTTAGCTGTTGTAAAACTGAACGCTTCTCGAAAGTCGAAACGCGAACTGATTGTCAAACGCGGGCAAGAGATGGCAGTTAAAGATTTACTCCTTGGAAAGAATGTTTTCGCCGTTCTACCTACAGGTTATGGGAAAAGCTTGATTTTTACATTGTTCTTGTTGGCGCGAGAAAATATAACGAGAATAAATACAGACGGCCGTAGAGTGTTTTATTGCAACGGGTTTAACAGGACTACTACGCCTAGGCCTATTAGCCGCTTCACTTTCTGAACTTCGTTCTAGAGACGAGACAATTTATATTGGCAACTGAGGTTTTTATACAACGGTCTATTTGTTCGATACGTACACAGCCAAGGCGTTTAATATGTCTCGTTTGATTATGACAATCGATCAGTTCCCTTGCGTTTCGGATCTTCCGCCCACACGGTTTACAAACTGGGTAGAAGTAACTTCGTTTCCTAAATGAACTGAACACAATTCGGCTTATTGATCGGCCAAGGTTTTGCCACTGTCGTAATCGTTTCTTTTGCTTGCCTAAATTCTCCGACGATATATAAGATATTTTCTCTATTGCCCCGTACTTTAGTTTCAAAGCACACTTAATACACAAACGACAGTGGTCATTTACTGTACATTTTCCGCGCTTGCTTTTCTACCTCTTGTCGTTTATATCCAGAGGTCCTGATTGAAACTTTCAATGGCGTTTCTTTCGACATATTTTATATTTGCAATTTTGCGACCAAACAATAACATAGTTTGACAGTTTGATTATTAATATATTTAGTGTTTGCTGATTGGCTAATTGGACCCGGACATTAAAGTGGGCGGTTATCAAATTACACTGCCAAACCCAGCAGGCGGTATTTTAGACCGCCTGCCATGCAGGCTATATGATGAATGGAATATGATGTGAACCATGCTCAAAACTTTTCTGTGACTACTTCTTAGATAACATGCATGGTTTTATATCAGAAATGGCATTGCAAGTTGCAGTAAAAATTGCCAGAGCAATTTGTGCTGTTTTGACGGTGGCAATATACAGGCCCTTATTTTAATGAAGCAATGAGTATGTCAATGAGGAAATTCAATTGGTAGACTCGTACAGGACATGACCTGTCCGAGTCATACATTTACATCGAGTCTTACAACGCAGATTTAGCTGTGAACAATTTGTGTTTGAACACCAATGTGAAATAGTCTGGATCTATTTTATCTTTTGTGTGTTGTATGCAAATCTGCAGCCTTTACCAATTGTTGAGATATATTGACAATGTGATAATTTACAGTACCACCTTGACTTAATTGCTTGTCACAGCTAAATGTTACCCCATGTAAGGTAATCCAGGAATCCAGAATCCGACTGCTTTGCAATTCCAAGGGGAGGAATCCTCAAACCAAAGAGTGGAATCCGGAATCCAATGAGAGGAATCCGGAATCCAAGGAGTGGAATCCAGAATCCAAGGAGTGGAATCCGGGAACCAAAGAGAGGAATCCGGAATCCAAGGAGTGGAATCCGGAATCGAAGAAGTGGAATACAGAATCGAAGGAATTCGGGATCCAAAGAGAGGAATACGGAATCCAAGGAGTGGAATCCGGAATCCAAGGAGTGGAATCCGGAATCCAAAGAAAGGAATCCGCAATACAATTGTGGAATCCGGAATCCAAAGAGAGGCCGGAACTGGAAACCAAGGAGTACCTTACAGGAGTTGACAAATGGCAACCATGTTTATATCATTATTTGCAAATACTGTATCATCAATCATTGGCTGTGATATTACTGCTGAAGTTAATAACTGACAGGAAACAAAAGAAAACAATCTAACAAGTTTAAAAATTGCACTCTTCACAATAATATATTGTACCTTTGTGAGACTACCATCTTCAATAATGACATTAAATTCATTGCTTAAAATTTCTGCTAAATAATCTTCTACGTCCAAAGGATCTAGTGATTCTAATAAAATATTAAAAGAGATTAACACACCAACACAGTCTGGAAAATGTCCGGCAGCACCAGGAGCTTGACGGCTTCAGATTTCGTCAAGTACCAGTACCTTGACTACTTCAGATCAAAAGACCTTCTGATCCAGATCCCACCATCGGACACCCATGCGGGCATGTCAGAGATGTTTGAAGTTTTTTGCATAGAGTCATGCTGGGTGGCATTAATTATCTACACTTAGAACTTGTTTTGAACAGTTGAGATCATAATTGTATTCACCAAAAACAAAATAATATAAAGCGTTCACGTTTTTACAAGATCCCCTCACTGCATCCCAACAATAATATTATTTGACCTAGTTGGATTAACCAGACTACTTCTGAATATATATCTGGTGAACCCATCAAGCTACCATGCATATGCTCTAACAGGGCTCATTAACCTATTGAGTGCCGGTGCTCATAAGATTAACGTAGGGTACGTGCATTGGAGCACAATGCAACTTAATGGGTTAACTAATTATACACACACATGTATGGGCAGCTAGTCCAATTAGAGAGACCACATAAATGTCGCTATTTTCTTAACCGAAGCAGTTACCTGACCTTTCAAATATAGTATTTTTTACCCTCGAGATTTAACAGTTGGCATTTAACTGTTGACGTTTTACCCTCAACCTTTGACTCTGCTCTTTCCGATTATTTGACACATATGTATGGTGGAGTAATAGGTTCATCACTTCATTCCATACATTGTCAGATCCTACACACTGTCAGTACTGAACCTTTGTGCCTTGACCTCAATAACACTTATAGTACAAAGGGTGTACTAGGTCAATTTAATATTTATGGCGGGCCTAAAAATCTGCCACGTGTTTTAAGGTGTTTTACGATTTCTTTTTTTGGAACGGCGTATAAAGTGTATCTCACAAACGATATTGTAAAGTTAGGCAAAGTAAGTCTAATATTATACATTTGTACTCAAACCATTCTCTCAGTCTCGACGACAGCATACATCAATTTAATATAAACATCAGTGATCAGTACACAGTGCATCAGCATCACATTAACACATACCGTTTTCAATAAATACATTGAAAATAACCTCTTGTAACCATCTTTCTTTCTCGCTACTATGTTGCCCCCCAAAACTCTGCTCCACAGATACACGAATGGCTGGCCAGTTCCCTAACACAAACTGCACTGAGTTCATAAATATCTGTTCTTCTTCCACTCTTTCGGCCGCCATATTGTTTTATATTTTCATACCCCCTGTTGCTCACATCTGTTCCCATTTGCCCTCATAATTTGTCAAAATTACTCCCCAATGATCTGTATTATCCTTACTCAGGCTAAAAGTTGGACTAGAATTTTAGAAAAAAATATACGAAAATTAAAGTAGGACAAAAGTTGGAATTTTTGGAGATGCCAATGACACAAATTAAAATATATTGTAACCTTAATCAGGCAAGCTTACTCTATCCAATTGTGGGGTATATGTGGTCATTATAGGCTGTTCAAATATATCAGATTGTACTAAAATGTCCACGCATGATCTTGCTTCTTGGATACGAATAGGGAGTAATTACGAGTCCCATCGGTAAACAAAGAGTTATGACAATAACATAATAATTCCCTGAGCTGTCTAAAAAGTAGGATTTTATAAGAAAAAATAGGAAAATCAAGCAGTTTTTCATAAAAAAAACCCAGGAAAGGTAGACAAAATGGAAGAAAAGTAGAAACAAGTTGGAAAAGTTAGGATGGCAAGAAAGCCTGCTTACTGCTTAACTCGCCATCTATTCCTTATTCGTCTACGTATATCTAGCTCATTAAATACCGTTATGCAAAACTCATGGCCAGTTCATCATCACGTGCATATTGTATTGTGGCCCAACCAACCACCAGCAATGTTTTAGTCAAATTATGTGCACTCACGACATTATATACACAATGGTTAATTTAATATTTAAACGTAACATTGGTTGGTTGAGCAATGGACTTTATATAGAAGTGCTTACGTCACGTAATTTTCAAACAATGAATTATTGACCCATACACGAGTAGCTATCTCACAATGCACTGTTCATTCCAGAAGTTCTATGTATTAAAAATTGTGTGGCATAAGTACTTCTAAGGTCTGTTATTAAACGGGCTGAAATTGCATCACGATTACATGAGCAGCTTCAACCCGGGATGAGTTTAGTCAGAGTTATATTTTATCATCAACCCGGGCTGAAATGTCAGCCCGGGCTGAAATAATCTGAGTGTCACGAAATAGGACAATAAGCGTGTTACGCTTCTTTGAAGCAATCAGACGCTGACTAGTCCACCATTTGACTTGTGTGAGACTGTGGTTATATGTAAAGTATTTAAAAATTAAACAAACACGCTAAATAAAGCCATTTAAACGGTTGTTTTTTAGCCCGGGCTCACGGGCTGAAATTATTTGCGATATTTTTTTTTAGCCCGGGGTGAGTTTCAGTCCGGGCTGAAATTTCAGCCCGGGCAGCTCAAACCGGGCTGAAATTTCAGCCCGGACTGAAACTCAGCCAGGGCTGGAATTTCTGTAATGTAATCGCTTGCTGTGTTTTAATAGGATTTTATCCTTAGGCCGGGCTGAAATTTCAGCGCGGGAAACCGGGCTGAAACTCAGCCCGGGCTGAAGACTCTCCATGTAATCAGCCCCTAACTTTGGAAATTTGAATTAACAAAACACGAATTGTTGCAAACATTTCTTTCGGAAGATATCCTGATTCCTGCCAGAGGCTTTTTTCGAAACTGCTGCTGGTTACGTCTAATAAATGTATAAAAATCACTTGGAGTTTCCATCCACAAATCCTCCAAGGCCAAGTTTACGTGAAACCGGAACGAAGTCAAACCGGGACCATTTCGCTTCGGTCATAGACATAGTTATTTATAATAGACAAAAATAACCCAGACCGGTCTCAAGTCATTCCGCCAGCTGGACCGAGCCGACTGACGTCAGACCGGCATGAATTCGGACTGGGATGAGTGTAAACACAAATACATTTCAGATCGGTCTCAGCTGTAACCTTGACATCGGAACAACACATGCTAACAAAAGCCATATAAAAAAGAAAATTTGTTTGACTTCGACCCGACTCCCAGTCTAATGTAAATGGACCTAAAAAAATTATGCATAATGTTACAGGGGTTAAAAATTAAAAACAGTGGTAAAGCTGGGCACTGTCAGTAGACTCAGTAGTATTATATATAGTTCACATATAGTACTGCGGTTGTTTGTCATAAAAATAATTTAATTCGATTATAGTAAATATATATATAACATATAAATTATACGTGATCGATTATTTACACTGTCGACTTAAAAGAAACTCGTACAATGTTTCAGAACCTACTTTACTCGCTAGGGGCGGTTGTCCAAAGTGCTCAATTAGTAATCATCATGGGTTAAAATTTAACCCGCTATTTTGGTTTGCGTATTGGTGGGTTGCAATCAACCTTTGAAATTTATAAGACAAAGATATGGCGACCATGTTGGAAGAAAACACGCTCCAAATGAATAGCTGCATGCCAATGAGATTCTTTTGTTAGCGTTTCTCCAAGATGGCCGCCATTAATTAACACGAAGAATTTCTACACGTCCGCTTAGGGACCGCGGCCATTATTTATGGCGGGGAGTGGCACCGTAGAGAAATATTTTTCTTATGGTAAACATTTTGCAGATCCAACCATTAAAAAGTCAAAATTTATTTTTATCCAACCCTGGCCAAAAAACTTCACAAAAGATACCATTCAGTTGTCACACATGTCCTTTACCACTTCTGTGTGACATGAGTTTGATCACTGCTTGTGCAATGTTGTCTGCACATGTACTTTCTTTGGAGACGGCATTTGCGTCCTGATAAATCCGAAAATGATCAAGGTAGTGACTCTGATTGATTGATTGATTGATTTACATATTGTATTGACATATGACTGTTGAGATTGCTTTTTAGTCTTCAATATTTGAGTGAGTCAGTCTTCGGAAATGACAATAAATTTTTATTACCCAACCCTTGAGTTGTTTTGTTTTTCATTTACCCAACCTTTTACTCACTCAAAATTTTGTTCACCCAACCATTTTCTCTTCGGTGCTGCACCCCAGCCGTAAATAATGACAAGCCCCTTATTGCAAATTCTTAGAAAATACTATTGATCCAGAAAAAATTACTGGAGAAATATTGCCATAACCCGGCTGTTGAGAAGTTCACTTAAACGTTTCTCGTCAACCTAAGGTAAGCATATACCGGCTTTAGAACAAACGTCTCTGTTTTTTAGTTTAAGAGTAACAATCTCTATTTTAATTGTGATAGGTTAATTAGCTTAGTTTCGATTCTCACTATGCGTCACTAACTGTAGTTAATCCTATATACAGCAAATGTATTTTACAGTTCTACCAATGCATATACAGCTAATTCAAAAAAGGTTGTCCTTTCTTTGCAAACTTAAACTCTAAGCGTGCAGAGCTTAAAGGGAACATAATTTATTCAGTTTAGAAATCATATATGCATGGGGCCCATTTCTTAGAGACATGGTAAATATTTCCTGACGAGAACAATTCATTCACAATAGCTGCACTATTCAACTACTATAAGCTTGAAACCTGTGCACCTATTAAGCTTTGCGCGCTTTAAGGTTTAGAGTTTAAGGTTTGCAAAAGACAACCTTTTTTGAATTGGCTGTATATAAGCGGCTTAATAGGGATGACATATAAGTGGCTTAATATAGGGATGACATATTTAGAACAGTTGTTATACGGGTTGCTATTTATAAGTCTTTATCATGGTGGTTTATCGGCGATATAACGCTGTCGTGACGAGTACCTAGAAATGATAATGGAGATGACCTTCCTCGGGGCAATGTTTGCATAAAATCACTATCACCACGTCCACGATCCACTGAACTTCTGCTGGTGGCTACAGTGGAGAAATTACATAAAAATGGAAATAATATTACACTTTAGGTAAATAGATAGATAGACTTATTAATGAGAAATTACATAGCGGCCACATAACACCAAATGGGTACTCATATGAATCCCTTTTATTTTTGCAACAAATAAGTGTTCACCTGTTTTTCCTGATTTTATTGGCGCCGACTTCCTTCTTGCTGCCCTCTCTCTTCAAACGAAAATAATGTTACTCCTTTGAAATTATTAACATTAGAAATAATAAAAATAGTATATGTTGTGAGGGGAACACATGCAGTCTCAGACAATTCGTGAAAAATTGGAATCAAAATCTAGGTTGGCAACACAATTATCTTCACCCCTTTACTGTTGCATATTCCAGTCTTTAACCTTTTTGGATAGACTGCGAGCGGTCCCTCCTTTCCGCTGGTTTAGATTTCCGGGCATTGGAACGGAAAGGAGGGACTGCCGACAACACATCAAGAAACGAAAGACGCGTTGCCCACACAACACAAAATTCCCATTGGTCGAAATCGATACGCCTGTCAATCAAATCTCAAACGTAGTAATTATGCTATATATAATTTCCAGACTGAATGTTGATTTTATAAATAAACATGACATTGACGGTTCCTATTGGATAGATTTAATTGGATATAAGTAATGTTTATGCAAAGGCGGAGCCAACTTGACAAGAGCGAAAAGTGGGCGTATTTCGTTTTTGATGTGTTGTTGGCGGTTCCCCCCTCTCCCGAGGGACTGCTCGCGCTCTACTTTTTGGGTCGAATATATGTCATAATTTGCTTAATTAAAAGGATATCAGGGTTTGAAAAAAGAGTGCTGTTCATGCAACTGAAAAGGGGGAGATTTGCTTAAAAGGATAGTCAACTTATTTGGATAATCAGTTATCTTGTTTGGATAATCAGTTATCTTGCCAAGAACATTAAGCAGGGTTCTCAATAGTAGCCGGCATGCACCCGGCGATTTTCGCCGATTATTTATCGAAATTATAACCCAAAATATTTCACAGAAATGGAAACGGAAAGGATTCTTACTTTTATATAACATATAGTTTACATTCGTTGTGGAATTTTTGGATAATATGACAAAAACGCCGAAACTATTCTCCAAAGTGGCTGGAACTGCCATTTCAGATCTCGATGGTCTAAATTTGAAGGAGACTCCTTCGCATCCCCTCATGAGTGGCGAGTGCATGAAACCTTCATCACCACATAGCCGCCTACGTCTTTCAAAAAGCCTCCTGCTCAAAATTTTATTGGGGATCCTGCATGATTAGACCAAAAAAATATGTGGGTTTGCGGTTTCCCGACCCTACCTAGCTTTTGAACGCCGAAATCCCGACCCTAAACGTTGTTATTGGATCATGCTTGTAAGTGCAGTGGTTCCACTTAGAGGAAAACCTTTGTGGAACATGGAAATTTGAGGCAATATTAGGGAAATTTATCTTTGGATGTGGAAACATTGACTAAACAAACATGGCGTCCGTTTGTCCACAGTTAATAGTATTAACCGTGGTTTGTCATATGTGCAAGTCTTAATAGGAAAATTAAAAAAAAGTTTAGTTACAAAAAGTTAAAACCGACCTACCCTAATGTTTACGACCTACGTAAGTTTTTACAAGAAGAAATAAGAAACCCACATTTTTTTTCCTTAACATATAAAACTACGTTCTTATCATTTCCTAATCCCAGTTTCACGCATTACTGGGATTATTACAATAGTTTTCATTTGGTTGACTGAACTAGGAGTTACTATCGCAAGGAAAGTGCTCCATATTATCGCAAGGAAAGTGCCCCATTAAACTCGACGCTTTTAATATATACAGGTATAGATCTCTGGGTGGATCTGGAAAAAAGATCGGGCGCATGTGTATCGGATTGGGCTATTTCATATTATTTAAAGCTTTGACAACGCTCGTGGCCTTTGTGAAACTTTAAAGAAATAAAGAAAGAAACTTTACATAAACTTATTTCGAAAGAATACACGCGCCAGATTTACGAAGTGATGTCTGATTTAGGAAGTGATGTCTAAATATAACTTAATATGGGTTAGCTTTTTGGCAGCTAAATTTTACAAAATTGTAACTCATGGGAAATAATTGTGTAGACTTAAAAGTTTTGATGAATACTCGTAGAACGATATACTGTATTACAGAATTACAGCTACAAAATCCTCTACCATCCAACAATTTTAAGAAATATAAGAATAAATAAATAACTCATATCCTGAGTTGACATGCAGGAATGCAGGATGGCATTATTATTCGGAATAGGTTTTTACTTATACAGATACAATCCTGGAGAAAACATCTGCGACACTTCCAATTATTTGACCAAATTTCGTAATATTATCGCAAATTTAAAATTTTTCGTGGATATAGTACTCAAAACTACCAATGATCATGGTAAACATACTTTTCGTATTTTTCTGAGATGAGCTGTTTCCGCAGTTCACTGACTTCACTTGATAATCTTTCTGACGTCGTCCTCAATGTCTGAAGTTCTTGTCTTTGCAAAAGCCTAAAAATATTGAAAAGCAATAAGTCAAGGAAATGTGATTCCCAGTATGAATTGTAAAGTCTTTGTTCACCGGACAATGAAACACATTTTTTCCTGTGAACCAATTGTGCACCAAACGTATCCATGAGCAATAGTGTGCGTTAATATATGTGTCACAAGACCACATGATTATGGCGTTATATATGATACTATTTCCAATTTATACATGGGAAAATATAATAAAAATCTCTAATACACGTTTTCAAGGTAGATTCCGCCATATTGGCGGGAGTGCAAAACAAATGGGGCAAGTGCGCATCCAGTCATGGCTGCCATACATTTTGCTAATTTTCAACAGAAAATCGACAAAATGCATGTTCACACAAAATTTTCCCTTACTCATTGGTGAGGAACAATTTTGTGTGGACATGCATTTTGTCGATTCTCTGTTGAAATATTAATATATCGTCAGTTATTTAAATATTAAAATATAAAGTTTATGTTTTCTGGATGTTCTACTAGTTTTTAGAAATGCCACGTTTCTCCATGATGCCATGCAGTCACGCACTGTTTTGGCATATTTAGGACGACATTGGAAACACCTATAGTGTATCTATACAGAAACTACTTACTGCAGAGAAACACAAAAATGCGAAAATAAAAATTATGACCAATTTAAGTCACAAAATTAAGACTACGAAATTTTGCATTGAAGATTAACGAATCATCTTGTAGCTATATACACATAACTATATATACACATTTTGAATTTCAACAGAGTACCTCGTCAATGCGTGTCTAGCTCCCATTAAATAACACATACATAGACATGCTAATAAATATTCCCTGGGTCATAAGTAAATAACACAAAAAAGTTACAAACTTGTCTTTATCTGACGTTGAAAGCCTGGATCGAAGTTGATCAACTTCATCAAGAGTGTCTTCAAGAGATTTCTTGTCTAGATATTCCTGCAAAGCATGTTAGGTGAAGAGTATATAGTTTTAAGAATGCACTTTTCCTTGTAACTAAAATTGGTCTTAGTTTAGTCGAAGAAGCCCATACGGATAACTTGCAAGTGAGGTAAGCTAACACGTGGAACCCAGCAGAAATTGGGAAAATATAACATTAAAACTTAGGCAGGAGTTATGAATAATTAATATAAGATAGGCAGGAGTTATGAAGCATGCGAGAAATGACTAAAGATAAAAAAGATGACAAGGACCGTCGAACACGAATTACTATTACCTTCTTACAAAGAAATAAAACAAATTTTAAAAATAAAAAAATTGAAAATTTTAATTTCATTAATTTAATTTAATTACTAAATTTAATAAATTCTATTTTATTAATAAAAAAAATGGATGGACCTTCTAACAAAAATATAAATTTCATGATAGCTTTAAGGCCCGGTTCAAATGGAGCCACCAATGTTGTGGATTGATAGAGATACAACTATACTTGAAAAATACAAGCAGAACTTCGACGTTTCGAGTGAAGCCCTTCGTCGGGAAGCGTGGATCGGGAAAATTACATGAGCTTTTATACTAGTGAATATAAAAGCGATCACGTGACAAAAAATACACCAATCAGATGAACGTATTGAAAACAAAGTCTAAAGAATGTTAGTGTAAAAACCATGCAACAATGTTATAATATCATAAAATCATCAGACCTATCCAAATTGGGAATACGTGCTTTAGAATATTTGCAAAAGAAACAGTATAAAGCATTGTTTGAAAATTGTTGGATATGCTGTTGGTGGCGCAACATTGTGAGGTCCATTTGAACGGGCCTTTAAATAACTAACCCGACTTCTTGTAGCAGAAAGAATGCCTTCGAGGCTTTTAACATTTGACTTCTCGTGAAAAACCTGAAGAACACAAAAAGTGCATTACTCTTATACTAATTACTATACATTCATAAACATAGTTAATTAACGCCAGAACACAAACGATACAAGAACCACCACTAATTTGACAAAGGATGTTCCTTAATTCTTCTTCTAAAACTTTCACCTTCGTTCATTATAAACATTTATTTTGTAAACTAAATTCAAGAATTCCGATTCTGAAGGTTAATATTTTATTTAATTTGCTACGTTGCGAGCAGTTTGACTGCTCGTCGTCAGGATGTTCCTTGTTTTCAATTCACATTTCACATAAATCTATTCGGTCTTTGAATCCCAGGGGCCAGTTGTATAAAACTATACTTTTTAACTACTATTTTGTAGTTAACTATAGTAGTATAACTCTAACATACGCGATTTTGTTTGGTTAACTTTCTGTAGTTAAACTTTTATACAACACATCCCAGTTGCATAAAATGCTTAATTACCTACTTTGTAACTACCGGTTTTGTAGTTAAATATAGTAGTCAACTCTCTAAATACGCGATTCTGATTGGATACCTTTTACACTAACAGTATAGTTAACTTTAATTGCATGTTTATACAACCGGCCTCAGGGGATTGGTTGCAATCCAATGTAAATAACTCCCCCCCCCTTCCCATCTAATAGACGGCCCTTATTAATTAATAATTTACGGGTAGTTATTTTAGAAGTTGAACAGTAACAACTGATATGCAGGTCGCGGTTTATTACTTGAAAAATACAGTGGAAGAACAATCACTATATCCATGAGGTTTTTGTGATGTTCAGAATTATCAAGGTATAGAGTGACACATTCGAGATGTCGAGATAATTCGAGATGTCGCAAAAACTGCTATTCAATAACTGTTTTATTATAGACTGCTTTTTCATTATCTTTTTCGACAAACAATGGTTTTTCGCACAAAAACAACGTTTAGTTCATAAAAAAGCAGTGCAAACGATTTAAAATATCACAATAACAACATAAAAAATATTAGAAAACTCATTTTCCTGCAAATAAAAGTTGGTATAAAAAATGTCAACAAGCACAAAAAATATCCACAAAAATGCTGTTCGTTCATGTTGTTTTTTCTTGTTTTTATTCGTGTATCAAAAACTGCAGCTTGCTATAAACTTACATACCGCGGGCTCAACCTACACATAACTCAGTCATCTGGTAGCATATATAACTGTGATATGTGTCTGTCTCTGGGTACGAGATTGTGTGCATGTAGGTTGCGAGATTTTAATATTTAGCTGTGAGATATTGGCCAATTAGAAGATACATATAGGGACTACAATGTATAATAATTATGAATGTTGTGAAGAAACGTTATCGTTTTCTACCCTTAAGTGCTTTTGATTGATAGGATTGTAGTACGCCAGTCACATTAAATTTTATAGCACGCCAGTCATACTTTATAGGCTATTTATTAGAGCTGTGCGGTTCCAAAAATTTTATCTCGGTTCCGGTTTCGGTTTTTTTGGAACAAAAACACCTCGATTCGGTTCGGTTTCGGTTATTTTCAAAAAAGAAGAACAGTACAAATGTAAGAACCATAGATATCTTATATACACTAGATAGCGCATCTCTTTTAGTAAAATTGAAGCCAAGAATATTCCAGCGGTTTCCCCCATTTGAATAGATGGCGGCCATGTTGGTCGTTCCCACTTGCTAATAAACGCTTTAAAACAACAGTAACTTTCATCATTTGAATAGTTTAAAAACGTATTTGGAATAGGGTTAACTTAATGTTTAAGTTCCCTGTTTAAGAAATAGAAAACATACGAATCTTCTCATTTCATGGGAACGACATGAGACTGCAATCACGGCTTCAATTTTTAAATTGCAGAATAATTAGATGCACTATCTAGTGTATATAAGATATCTATGGTAAGAACTCATTTATGTATATGTTTCGAGCATTTTTACTAAATAGATGAATTTATGCCTTAATTGTAAGTTTTTATAAATTATGGGAACCACTGAGTATTTTGATAAAATACAAAACAATAGATATTCCGAAAATTGAAAGCATTTTGAAAAATTTACTTCGACGTTTCGACTAAACTATAGTCATCATCAGGAAATGAAATGATGACTATCGTTTAGTCGAAGAATTCATTTATTCATTTCCTGATGATGACTATAGTTTAGTCGAAACGCCGAAATAAATTTTTCAAAATGCTTTCAATTTTCGGAGTATCTATTGTTTTGTATTTTAAGTTTTTATAAATCTCTGAATATTTTAAAAGAACAATTGGAATTTATTTATGAAGATGAAATATTTTTTAGTTTTTAAAAAATTTAAAGCAAGTTCACAACAATAACTATCACAACTAAAATATCAACTATTTGAGCACTTAGTACAGTGCATATTGTGCACAAAGAGCAGAATCTTGTTATATTTTCCAAACATTTCAACCTACAATCAGGTGGGCGTTTGGAGGGCGTTAAACGGGAAATTAAAACCGAAACTACCGGTTCTATTGCGTATAATTTTTCGGTGCTGAAAAAAGTACCGGAAGAACCGATTTTTTCGGTTAACCGCACAGCTCTATACTATTTATACTACTTCGCCTTTACAGCAGAGTCCAATTTATCAAAACTAATTTTAGAAATCATAATAAAGTAATGATATTTATTACCTGGCTCTTTAGTGTATCAATTTCCTCTTGAGCATCACTAAACATTTGATGTAACTAGATTAGAAGAAAATAAATGAACAGTTTTAGCCAATAACCCAGTTATACAAGGACATGCGTTAGCGCATGTAAGCTTATACAAGTGGAAACTCGACATTATTTAAGTATATCAAAAAGATACGGATAGTTACGTGGGATGGGGAGTTGGGAAGTTCGGACACGAACCACGGCAGCTAATTAGGCATTTTTCTCAGTTTCCATGAATACATTTTCTGTTAAAAATATAGTGGTTTGTTTAAAAAGAGAAATAAGTATATGAGCAGAATATAAAATAGCTCAATGACACAAAAAGTGTATAAAAAGCATAAATTTAGCTGCATGATCCCAGTATTTAAAGGTGAGTCTCTATAGTTACAGGTGCCGTCGTGATTCTCACACTAGTGCAACTAGTCCGTGTGTTGTGACCCGATATCGTTCACTTTCATTAAGCATGTCTTAGAACTGAAATATTTTTACGGGAACTAACACTTTCGAACACGCTGAGTTCAAATCCGAAAAGTTCCCACTCCGTAGACCCGCAGTTTTTTCACAAAATGCTATTTTATCTTCACTAATTTCACAGCAAATTTTTTCATTGTTCAACGATACGGATCGATGACGAGACAAGATTATGTCACTCAAAAGGGCCAATTTCAATTAACAATTCTTCCTTTTAACAAAAGATCGGTTTTGCTCGAATCATTTTGAGTTATGCAATCTTATGCGTGTTGGACGTAAACAACATATTTTGTCTACAACTTTGAGAAGGTACAGATAACGCTTTCTAAAACCCTCAGTTCTAGAGATATCTCTATAAAATCACAAGGACATTAATGTCAAGTCTTTTAGCTATGTCACTGGCGAGAAAAGTAACTAATTTAACGCGATCAAGATATTTAAAACAAAAGTAACGCAAAGCCAACGTAACGGCAAAGACAACGTTAAAACGAAATATTGTCGAATGCTTGCAGGTAGAAGACTTACGACAGGATCAATCTTAAATAACCTTAAGCTATAAGAATAAATGTTCACATCAAAGACAAAGATCAGTCACAACGTATAAAATATGCTCTGTAAACTTACCGCGAAGTGGAGAAATGTGTCCATGAGCTGTTTATTCGATGATTTCGACGAATATAGAAGCCCTCTTTCCAATAATACTCGCTTATCGCACAGTATAACACCAACTGATATAATAGTTCAAATGCAATGATAAGTTATCTCTTGAATTACGTCTTGGAAACCGTGTTGGAAATTTCCATGCTGATCCATTACATATAGATTCCCGTTTTATATCTTTGTATAAAACATTTTGATCCCATGTAAGGAATTATTTCTCAGCCCAGAGACATAGCCCAAAGATTTGACATTAACGTCCTTTTGATTTTATAGAGATAGTTCCAGAACTAAGAATATTATAAAGAATTATCTGTACCTTCTCAAAGTTGTAGACAAGATATGTTGTTTACGTCCAACACGCATAAGATTACATAACTCAAAATGATTCGAGCAAAACCGGTGTTTTGTTAAAAGGAAGAATGGTTAATAGAAATTGGTCCTTTTGAGTGACATAATAGTGTATCGTCATCGACCCGTGAGGTTGAACAATGAAAAAATTTGCTGTGAAATTAGTGAAGATAAAATAGCATTTTGTGAAAAAACTGCGGGTCTACGGAGTGGGAACTTTTCGGATTTGAACTCAGCGTGTTCGAAAGTGTTAGTTCCCGTAAAAGTATTTCAGTTCTAAGACATGCTTAATGAAAATTGTTTTCTGGGCACTTTTCGAGGTCACAACACACGGACTAAACACGATATCTTACGAGTATTTTTTATCCTTGACTAGCTTATATACTCAGTCGGTCTTTGACTGCAAAAAATTGTGTAGAAAGTAAACGATAAACCTTGATCAGGGCCGCCCATGCCTCGTTTGTGCATCGCTGAGCATATTTCATACACTTCTTCAGTAAGATAATTGAAACTCGTTCAAACACTTTAATTTGTTTTATTACTCATTTTATTTGCATTATCACCTCATCTTTATCCATTGACTTTGAAGCTACTTGTCTGGATAATGAATCTCTCATCTGATCAAGCTTCACGCAAAGTTCACGAACGGCAGATAGATCAGCAAGTAAACCTTCCTGTAATATAAAACAGGTCATGGATAGTCACAATCAAATGTAGCAGTCTTCCATGCAATTCAAATACCAAAAATTTTGAAGTTCCTTCATTTTCAATCCTTTAAAGAATTAGTGCTCTAAAATAACACTTGAAGTTTGCATCCGTGGACTATTCAGCGGATGAGTAAAATCGTCGCACGATTTCCGGAACTTTTCAAGTTTTGTTGTGCCGGAGAAGGGACTTTGAATGATAGCTGAATAACTGTGTGATAAGCCTGTAACAATTTTTCAACCATGAAACTATTGGTAGGCTGCAAATAATTCTAAATTGCATGGAATTTAAGGCTGTACAAAAGGTGGTCATATGTTTGCAACCTAACCCCCCCCCCACAATATTTCGCAAATTATCAGCCAAATATATATATATATATATATATGGCACGAAAAATCACATGGTGTAAACATATGGCTTTGGGGTAAATCAACATATATGATCGACCTTAACCCATATAGGAAGAGTTAAAAGAAGAATGAAAAAATTTAGAAATGAGACGCATGTGTCATGGATCGTGCCTTTCAAATATAATGAATTTATGGAGAATGTTCTATGACGGTTAGAACTTAAGAGCTTAACCGCACAGTATTATTAATACAGTTACATGTTTATTATTTTACGTGTTCTGACATGTCGCCGACACGAACTTTCAAAATATAGGCTTTCAAAATATATTGGGGGAGGGGGGTTGCACCGGTGTCTGCTAATATTTCATCTGTTCATTAGAACAAAAGAGGAAAGGTTTAGCCATATTACTATGAGGGTAAAAGCCAACATGGCTTAGAATGTTTAAAACCAAGCAGCCCAGTACAAAGTCAGGTAAAAATCTCATGAAGTGTTCACAACATGCTTGTAGCAAACTTGGCAACATGTTGTTAGTTTGTCAAGTTTCGAGTATGTACCTTTTCCTCGTCACTCTGTCGAAGCTGTTCTTCCATGGTTTGTAGAGATTTCGTTAGATTGGAAAGTTGAATTTCGTACGATTGCTCGTTCACTGCACGCTATAGATGAGAAGTGTATGATACGTATATTACATAAAGTACTTCGGTCAATTCAGAACCGTACGCAGGACTTTCTCAAAAGGCAGGGGTCGAAATTCCCGCTATTCCAAATATAGTAAAATGCCTGACGGAATAGTAAACTTCATGATTACGGTATTCCGTTTGTATAGTAGAAAAATGTTCATGCTAGTGGTTGGCCAGTCTGAAGATGTATATTAATGTACATGAACAGATAATTCAGATTGTCGTTAATTAGCCTTTTTCACGATGACGAATATCCGCCATTTTTGAGTGGCATCTAATTCTCGTTAACCAATGCCGACAATTATAACAATGTGAAAAGCAATTTTTCAAAATAAACATTATCATTTATAAAGCAAATTTACGACCTTCGTCCAAAAAATTGTAAAAAGATGCTGTTATGTGGACTTATATCGATATGTGGACTTATTAGACTTGAGATAATTCATTGAATGTGAGATGTTTTGTTTTTTGTTAATAATTTGTTCATCACTCTACAAAGCAATGCACTGTACATGTTTATTTTTTATTATTCAATTATTCAGTTCACTTTAGGAGTCTCAAGGATGATTTCACGAAAATCAGAACATTAGCGCGGACCCTGCATGATCAGGCTCTCAGAAACAGTACATTAAGGAATAGTGGATCTTCAGACGGAATAGTAAATTTCAAAATCTTCTATTCCGGCTGTATATACTACAGTACAAAAAAAAAATTAAATTTCGACCCCTTTAAGGGGGCAGTATAAGTTGAAATAAGTACCCAAATATGAATGCATTTAAAGCCATATCAGTTTGATCTTAGTTAATATAGAATAGATGGTTTGGAAACTTATTAGAATAACAATATAACTCATTATCGATGTTAGTCAACGTTTATTCATAAATATGTTCCTTCACCGTCACATGTGTATTGTATTTTTGCCAAATCCACGAATAGCAATTTCCAATTTTCCCAATTGTTCGAGTCACGGATAGGTAACTTTCCTAAAACATTGCTATTGGTTAGTTGGGCAAAAATACAATACGCACGTGACGGTACCGGTGAAGGACCAGATTTATGAATAAACGTTGACTAACATAGATAATGAGTGATATTGTTATTCTAATGAGTTTCCAAACCATCTATTCTATTAACAATGGTTAGATGCATGCTTATGGCCGCCCCATACAGAATCGTACATTTTGATTCACAAGATTATAAGCGCCATGTGGCTTATATAAAAATCGCCAATTGAATTTCTTCTTACACCATGGTATTACGGGCTCAAATTCGTGCTGGCGCGGCCAAGTAGGCCTAGATCAATAGATCGGCGAAAGTTTTTGTATTTCATCGTATATCTAAACCTTCCTTTCAGAGTCTTTGCTTCCTTTATCCGATTCTTATTGGCAATGTACCAAACAAGGTATTTTAACGCTGCTTGTTTGTTTGTTTGTTTGTTTGTTTGTTTGTTTGTTTGTTTGTTTGTTTGTTTGTTTGTTTGTTTGTTTGTTGTAGGTATTAACGATAAGAACAATAACAAAAGCCTGCGATACAATGGTGTGACACTTCTTCTGAAGTTGAGTTTTGGCAGGATGGTATAATTTTGTTTGTTCCACTGCCAACCAAAACCAGAGATACAGTAGGTGCCAAAATCACCTATAACACTGCCTGCATGTAGTTACGGCAACGGATTTAAGAACTCGTTGCAGTAACTTTGAAGCGCCTTATAGATATATAAAACATGAAGGGAAAGTATATCATGTTTCTTTTCCGCTATCCACAATTATTAGCTTCTATTTCCGCTGCTAACTATAACCGCAATCAGAGCGATGTATTTCTAGTAACTTTTCTGACATCTCAATTTCAAATAGTCAATTCCATACGTTAACGCCCGTTTACGTTTGAAAATTTTTGCAGCGATTTTAGGTGCAATTTTGTCTTCCTGATGGAAGTGAAAGAGTGGATGACGAATGTGCAGATGCAACGTGTACTCTGAACACTCATAACTCATCTACTTCTATATAGTGGGGCGGATAAGTGAAAGTATTGTGCATTTTGTGAAGAAAGCACCATATTGACAGGATGTGTAGACTTTGGCACAAGCGTATGAATATCAGATATGGAGGCATCTGAAATTAACGCTAACAGCCAAAAATTTGGATTTTCTGACATTTTATTATACATTTCTATTACTGATAGAAATTTTAAAATTCCAAGGTAGCTGACAGAGAAAATAAGTTGTATGGTTGAAACATACACAAAAAACTGTCTATAGAACATTAAAGCAGTTTTTTGATTTTCCAAATATTTCCTGAGCTGCAACTTGTTAAAAAAGGCGATTTGAAGCTAGTGCCAGTCTTTGCACCTATTTTTCATCTATTTTGTGCGATATAAAGGAGGATATTAACGTTATCCCGGCATGCATCGCGTCACCACTCGCGACTCCAGCTAGCGCAAAACAAACATGGCGAAAGGTCATGCATAATTCATATGGTCAACTCAATGACGTTATATGTCACAAAGAAATGCAAAATATGGTAAGTAAACCGTATCTTATACATATTAATAGTTCTAGCAAAGCATGCAAATGCAGCTCATAACACAAAACAACTTTACGCGACGTCTCTTCCAACCTTCTATCCAAGGTCCCGAGCAAGCAAGGTAGTCCGCAGCATCAGCTCGCAAAAATACCGACAACGCATTTGCAAATATCTACACTACGCTCGGAGTTTTTCCACCAAGCATTAAACACTAACACACTATGGCATTTTTACTTCTCACTCATACAAAAAAGACCCTAAAAGACCCTAATATAGGCAGTCGTTTTGACAAATGAAAACCATCAAAATAATGCTTCATGTGTCGGCGCCATCCAGCCAGTATTAAAAATGCGCCATGTGGCGCCATTAAACTCGCGATAGAAGTCTCGTAAAAAAAGCCATGAAAGGGCAGTTGAGCTGTCAATTTCCCGCTTGTTATCCAAAATGACTGAAAATCGCAAACTTGGCAAGGCTATATTATCCGCATTTTACAACATTGCGCAAAGAAACATTGGAATATTATAAATAATTTTTTGATGCTCTTTCAAGATGTGATGAAATTTTTGTCTAGACTTGTTTAAATCAAAATATAGTGTATTTTACGCAAGTGGTCAATTCGCACTCATTCATGTATAATGCGCACTGTTTGTCATAATTATTGCATCAATTATTGCTTTAGGATGACGGTACAAACGAAGATGCTGCGAACGTCGCAGACAAAAGAAGCTATGTCCCTTCTGGTAGCACGCCCCACAAACCACCGAGGAAAAGATCTCTCGTTGGTCCAAGTCCATTAAAATCAGCTAAAAAATTAACTTTTACAAAGCAGCAATCTCCTGCCCAGAGAGTAAGCAAATGATTTTACGTTAATTCGTAATAAAATTTATGTATGTTTAATATGTATAATTATATGGTTTAATATTAATTAGTATGAATAATGACTGTTTAATATAGTATTAAATTATATCAATCCCTCTCACAGGCAGCGAAATACCTCGTAACAAGAGCCAAGGGGCGCCATTCACCAAAGCAGCTAACATTCTCTCCGAAACAAAAAAGAAATGTGTGGACGTCAGAAGAAGATAAGTCATTAATTGAGTTTATTGCCCTCCACAGAGATCTGCAACCTACCAGTAGTGACTGGCCAAGTATGAGAGTGCAACATAAATATTGGGAGAAAGCTGCACAATTCATTAAAGAAAATGCACCAACGGTTCATGTCAGACCTTGTAAGTCACATTGCAGTTATCTCATGCTTCTTTGCTTTTATGGGTTAACATGTTTATGATTGTCTGTAATGCACCTGTCAATGTTAAGCTGCAGGGGAGGAGAATGGGAAATCCTGAAGGGTTTGACATCGTATATACCCCTGTAGGTGGGAAATTCGACATCAACCGCCATCCCCAGAGAGAGGATATTTTATTACAGTGCTGTGGCCTGGGGGTCTGATGATATTGTGTGACATTCACCTTTTTTATGATTTCACAGTGACTATCATCCCAAGAGTGGCCAATATGATGTCACCTCAATAAAAAATGTTGAATGCCCTTGTGTTTGCAACCACCTAGCTCACACTTAACATTTACAAGGTGCATGGTGATGCATAATCAACCATTTAGTTAGAGTAACACAATACTTTTTCCACTTTAATTAATTTATATTTTTCTCTAGCAATGTCTATACGTTCAAGAGTGTCTTTCCTCAAGACCAAGTTTTCATCCATTGACAATGCTGAGGACAATCTTGGTCTGACTGTTAGTCACTACATGAGCACTGAAACACCATGTACCAACTTGAGAAATTCAGAAAGGATGTCAGAGCAAGTGCGAAGAAATGTTGACCCTCTGATTCTAACGAAGGATGACAAGATTTTGTTAATAAAAAAGTATATGGAAACACTAACTGAAGATGAAAAGATGGAATGCATACATGAGATTTACGATGATAGATGTGAACTATTATCACTAATAACTAAGCTATTTACAAAAGTAAATGAAAAAGTTGGTATTTGTCAAACAACTGAACAGCAGTTATTCAGCAAACATTTAGATGAACTATACTTCAAAATTGCGGTAATGGAAGGAATACGTTCAAATCCAAAGCATTTTATTACAACATCAATCAAAGCCATGAAACGACTGCAAGCTGAAAGCAGATGTAATCTCGTCTATAAGTTCTGCCAAATGCTGACTGATGTGAATAATTTTGACCAGTCTAGTTATTTGATGAGATTGGACAGAATGCCATTTGGCCTGCTTGATTATGTCATACAGTTCTTCACATGCACAAACACCAGACAGGTACTGCAATTTGTTTCATTCAAGTAACACTCTTAATATAAGTAACACACCACTATTTGTCCTGAAAAGCAGGTTATTTAAATAACTTCTACTGTATCTATTGACTGTTTAAGATATGTGAGCCCGAGGACTACCGCATTTGGCTGGAAACAATGGAAACCGAATTTCCTAGTAGATTTCATCGCTTGTTTGCTGGACCTATGTGGAGCAACCAGGAGACAAAATATTATGGGAATCCACATAAGGTACTGGTTGTTCTAACGTTCAGGAAGATCATTTTTGTTAATCTTATTAATTATTTAAAATGAGTACCAGATTGACAAATCCTATGTCAATGAGTGGTAAATGTTGCATCAAATTTCTAGTCACTTTCAATCATAATATACATTCGGAACCAAAATACTGTACAAAGGCAATGTGATACGACTCATACCAGTACCAGTTAACATTAGATAATATTTTTTGGATAAACGTATAACAACAAGCCTGTAAATTGCTTAGGGTGGCATTTAAATGTTTAAATTAAAGTAAATTTTTTTGTAGGCATTAACCAATGTTCCATGTACAAGTCTTGTGTCACATTGGAGCAAGTCCAAGAAATATACTAGTTTTTCCGCTACTACAGATATTCAGGTAATTCTTCAGTCACAATTTGAGTCTGTCAGTTCAATTGACTGAGTCTTGTTTCACACTGTATTGCCTTTGATAATTACATTTTATCAACAGTAATTTTGATCAGAGTAATGTACTTCAAAATTTGCTTAAAGGGGTTAACTAGAGTAATAGAGTATTGATTTGTGCTCAAAAAACATTTTGCTTGAACGTACTGCAATGTTTGGTAAGTGTGATTAATTAAATAGAATATGGTCAGTTGCATATAGGGATGAACACAAAACCATTGTTTATTCTCAATCAAAACTTTAATGTTTGTCAAGAGCATTTGATAGGTTTCAATTGGATCAGCCAATCATGTTTAACTAGCTTCACACTTATTGGCTGAGCTAATTTAATTCTTTAATGTTTGTTATACATTACAAACATTGAAGTTTCTTTTAAGAATAGACCGTGTTTTTGTCTGCTACTCTCCATCCTTAAATACAACCAAAAGAAATTTCGTATTTTTTTCTCAAGGTTTCTGCTCTTGATCAGTTGAAACAAACAAATGGCCGATTTTGGATCAAGATTGACGGCACCGACATCAAGACTGCACTTATGGAATCTGCACGCCGTGTGTGGAATGGAGATGTTGATATGAATGATGGAGAATTGAAAAAGCTAAGAGAGCAGTATGAAAATCATTTGACAGACGTTGATAAGTTCAGCAAATCAGATATTTCAACAGAGATATTAAGAGAAAGATGGTGGAAAGAGGACTAAAAGTTGTTGGTACTGTATAATAGTACTGTAAATTTTAACAGTTAAATTGTTCATGTTGTATTTGCAGGAACTGTTAGCTGGACAAGAGATAATTCAATTCATTTGATTATTAACCCATTGGGCCTTGATGCACCCCCTTTTTACTCTGTCTAACGCCAGACAATTTTACTCGTCAAGGGGAGAGCGCTGGCACTTAATTAACAGTGTACATTAAACACTTCCCCCTTGACAAGTATATTGTCATGTGTTAATTGAATAGCAAAGGATGGTGCGAAAAAGGTCTCATCGAGACTTGTGTTAACACGAGAATGGGTTAACAAGAGAATTATGGGCAGTCACTGTGGTCTTGTTAACCCATCAATTGTAATACTTTCCCCTTAATGAGTAAAATTGTTTTGCATTGGGCAGTAAAATAGCAAAGGTCACATCAGATGTTTATTGTTTTATATTTTGTATGCTCTAGGTACTGTAACAGATGGTGAATTCTGTTCATTAAGGAGCCAAGGGGAAACAAGACCTCTGCACATTTGGCAGTTAATCCATGACAGCAAAGAAGCAGTGCAGAAAATGTCAAAGAAAACCCTCTTAGCAATGCTGATAAAGTGTGGAGGTAAGCAATTTATAAAAGAAGGAAATATACAGGGTATGCAAACATGGACTAGATTACCTAAGTGACAGGGTCATTTTTGCAATTACCATACTTACAGTAGGTGTCCAACTAGTTCTAATATCAGACTATAACTCAATTTTGTGAGATTTTGTATTTATCAGCCATGTTGGTAGAATTAATACATAATTTCAGTGCAGTTATATGTATTGAAGATTAATATCAATAAAAAAAGGATGAATATTGGTGTTGTACCATTGCTACATTAAAAGGGCATATTTTTTTTGTTCTTTACAGAAAGTGAATGTGGAGATCCTGTGGTGAAAAAACCAAATGCAGCAATCCCACACAGTTTTATCAACCTAATCCACAACCTGCAAATATCTGAAAACCTTACCTTGCAAGATGCAGTGAAGCAAGTCAGGAATAGTTTGGTTCCAGTGGGCTATACTCCATATCCATTCAAAAAGGATACAGAAGAATCTTTTCTTGATATGCTGAGGAGCTTGGTTGCAACATGCATATACAGAGATGCGATCAAACACCTGAAGGGAAATGGTGTTGATTTTTCCCTCTACATTTATGTTCCTGAGGTAGATCCAATCACCAAAGATGTACGACATGATCGGAGTGACCATAATCACCTTTTCCGACGAGCTGTAAAGAGCATTCGAGATGGCAACCATCAAGGTCTCAATTTTGAAGCATTTGATGATGTTCTTCTTGATCCTGGCAGTGGCCTGACACATGCAGCCCTTATCGGTTTGAGAAAGCAGTCACTTGTTGATGCAGAACGACTGGTTTCGAAATTTGTTGTTCGGTCACTCAAAAAAAGTGAACATGAGAAAGAAGCTCGGCATGTACAGCTGCTGGTGAATTGGCATGAGGCTACTGATGGGCGTAGTCTAACACAACTACAAAGGTGTAGATACAACTACAACATGCTCAATTATATATCGGACGAATGGATGCCATGGCACAAAGATTGCTATGATTTCTCAACTATTGACATTAACAGGTACTGTACACGCTGGCACTTAATGGGTTAACTGGCATATCTGCCCCCATTGAAATGAATATAAGTGGAACGCTATATCCAACAAGAAATTTGAAGCCAAATTTGAAGGCCAGTCCCAGTCTTTTCACGCAAGCAAATGCGATTGACGCAGTCAATCATAGTATAAACATGTGTGTCTTGGTCAGGAGGTCAGATTTGGCTTCAAGAAAAAGATTCATTGGCAGTTTATCTTAAGGTAGCATTCCAGTTATATTCATTTCAGTTATCTGCCCATGTGTCTAATTAACCCATTGAGTCGCATTGCTTCATGATGTGCCCTAATTTATATTTTACTCTGTCTAACGCCAAACGATTTTACTCGTCAAGGGAAGAGCGGTTAATGGGTTAAAAAGTATTGTGTATAAATGAAATATTATGTTTTTATATATTGTAAATTATGATATGTGATAAAGGTAATGTATGTACATGGTAATTTATGCATATAGCTACAGCTATCTGTGAACTCCTGAAGAGTTATAGAATGAGTGGTGGTGATTTTTTAATTTGAGCCAAGTTTGAGAAATTTCCCATTGGTTGTGGCATCTTTTGTAAATTCAAACAATACTGTACATTTGTGCATGTACAGTATGTAATGGCAGTGTGCATCTTCAATTTATAGACCAACAAATAATATTTGTGGCTTTTCACGGGAAACCCTTGTTGAAATGACAACAAATATTGAAAGTCAAGAGTTCAGAAGGAGAGAAAATGATGAATTGGGATATGCTGAGCATCCAAGAGCTGGTGGAACAGATGATCTGGAAACATTGTTTTCCATTGCCCATCGCAAACTTGGCACTACCTTCACCTTGAAAGACTGGACAGAGTACTGGCCCAAACTTGTCAGGTAAAAGTCTGCTTACAACCGGCTGAAATTAATTCAGCTATCTAGGAGAATAGAAGTCTGCTATATTATGAAAGGTAAAAGGCTTGTGTTCTCAGCAAATTTATTTGTTCCATGTGAAGCAAGGGTATTTACTCAAAACATCAGTTCGATACTTTGGACCCCAACTCTTTGAATTCAAAATATTGAGGGTGAGCATATGTTTTTATTCAGGGAATTCTGTAAGAGGATGGATAACACACTGCCATTCTATTACTGGACGCTAAACGAACGCTACACAGAAGAAGATCTCCCATCATTTGATCATAAACCAAATGTTGAAAAGAATGTTGATGAAAGACACCATCCACTACGCCTGCATCGTTTGAAAGTCAACAGGAGGGAGGATGCTTCTATATTTGCACCAGGGAGAGCATTTCTACCATCCCGTAACTGTCCTACAATTAGGCAACGCCTACATCGCCACGAAGTTTGCCTACCCCCCATCATGGAAAATGAACAAAGTTAATTAACATAAATGTTTAAATATATGATCATGAAAGGTACTTATTGTCACAAAACTACAAAAGATTGAAAATGTTCTGTAAAATTAAAATGTACAATTATAACGATATTTATTAGAGTTTGGTGGCCATCTTCCTGTTTTTGTTATGGACACAACTGGGACATAGACAAAACCACCAACATAAAAATTGTACTGTCTCTTAATTTCTGACATCTGTATATTTGTTATTTGATGTGAATAATGTGCCTTGGTTATCTTTTCCACTCTTGAACCAGGTATATATCCTATAGGATCAGTAGTACCATCAATTTCCGCAATGACGACAATCGCATTTTCATCCCGTTTATTTACAGGCTCAAAATGTAGTGATAGTGCTGGAGGTTCTAGTTCACTCAGTTGACAGAACTTAAAATGTCGTAATGCACTTTGGAAATGATTATGAAAGCTAGTTCCTTTCAGCTTGAATTTTTCTGTATATTGTTGTTCTTCATGTTCTGCAACGTGATCTAAGTGTTCCATGTTCACTTGTCCATCATCAGTTACTGAACTATCATTGTGATCATTGACAGCATATTCAATTATTTCACTATCATCAGAATGGCCACCATCATCAGAATGGCCACCATTATCAGAATGGCCACCATCATCAGAATGGCCACCATCATCAGAATGGCCACCATCATCACATAAATACTGAGATTCATTTGAGCTATTCTGCACAATGAGACCACGTGTTGGGTATTTGTTGCAATTGCAATTAGTTTGGGTTATGTCAAGCCATGGCAATGTCGGGTAAGAGTCGTCATCTTCCACTGGTAGGACAGCTTTAACTGTTGAAACAGGTTGTAAGTCATCCTTCACAATGAAATCCCAAACCAGTACTGCTTGACGAGAACCAACCTATCAATCAATAAAGGAATCAATCTATACCTGCATCACAATTCCCATCCCTCAAGCCACCCCAAAGCATTTGCAGTTTGTTTTCTAATGTAAATAGCCCCAGAATGACACGTAGATTTTGAGTAAATTTTACAAGGGATTATCTCCCCCCTGCACGGCCAAGCATAAATAAGCTTACAAATACACAAGGGTGTACTTGGGTGGGGGGTCAGAATGGACAGGACTGGACTGATACATGACCCTAGTATTGGTCCACACACATCGCACATTAAGATAACACACGTACATCTTTGAGCTGTTTATGCACAAATATATAATTACCATGGGCCATGGAGACCAAATGCATATTATATTAAACCCCAGTGAAAATATTGCTACTATTATTTATTACTAAATATCAATTGAAATTGGATTCTCAAGAGACAATAAAAAAGGCTAATATCCATACTACAATACCAAAACACCAGGAATATAGTTGATAAAAAGTAAACATCTTACCGTGATATGACAACAAGTAACAATTTCGATTGCACATGGGGAAATTTGCTGCGACAGGTTACGAATTATATCCCCATTTGGAAAAAGTACAATTCTCCTCTCGTGTAACTTGTCAGGAAAGCTAACATGTCCACCAACGAGTTCCAGCTCCATAAACGGCAGCGAAGTAATAGTAAAGTCGAGTAGAAATTGAAAATCAACACAATAAAGATACAAGATATCTGTCGGTTCAAGAAAGCCTATTCCCTGTTTGTTCACCGTTATGGCGTTCATTTTGAAATCTACATGAGACGCGCAAAGCATGCTGGACCGGTTTATATAGATGATACAATTTGTTAGCAATGCATGCCGGGATAACCTTAATATCCTCCTTTGTGCGATATCGAAACTTGGCAAATAAAAAAACTGCTTCAACGTTCTATAGACAGTTTTTTTCGTAATTTTCAACCATACAACTTATTTTTTCTGTGAGCTACCCTAGAATTTTAAAATTTCTAACAGTAACAGAAATTTTTATTCAAATATCAGAAAATTCAAAATGTTTAGCTATGAGCGTTAATTTCACAGATGTCCCCTTATCTGATGCTTGTGTCAGAGACTACACATACTGTCAATATGGTGCTTTCTTCACTAACTGCACAATTTTGCTCTTATCCGCCACACTAATACCACCACCAAAAAAGTCGAGTCGCACTATAAATCGCAGCCAAAAATTTGTTTTAATTATTATTTTAATAGTTGTAGCTATTTTAATTTAATTATTATTTTAATAGTAATTAATTATTGTTTTAATAGTCATCGCAAGATGGTTACACTGGCTAAAAGGTTCAGACTAAATTTATGCAATTCAAAATATAGCAGATTATTATTTAATTTTGAAATCCTTACGATTTAATTATATATTTTATACATTTACATTAATTAAATATTTATTTCATATTATACTAATTGGCATTATTAAATATTACATGTATATGTAGTAGATTTTCTTTTAAATTCTATATAATTATTCAGTTAAGGTATTCGGATATAGTTAAACCGACTCATACGCAATGCATGATAGCGATAGCAAATTTAACAGTAGTTTATAACTATGTGAGACCATAGCTTATCGAAGGGAAGATGGCTAATTGGCTAAGAAACTCATTTGAATGACAATATAATTCATTATCTATGTTAGTGCAACATTTATTCATAAATCTGATCCTTCACCGTCACGTGCGTGTTGTATTTTTTCCCAACTATCCGTGACTCGAGCAATAGGGTAAATTGGAAATTGCTATTGGGGGATTTGGCAAAAATACAACACACACGTGACGGTGAAGTACTAGATTTATGAATAAACGTTGACTAACATATATGATGATGATGATAAACTGTATTTAACCACGCTAACATTGTCAGCTAAAGCTGGTTTCCACAATGGGCATGTGAACAAAAGTAAATTTACAAAAAAAAAGATAAAGGTAGTAAGAAATTACATGCATATATGTGAAAAAGAAAATATACTATAATACACGTTAATTTACTATTTACGATCATGCTTTAATAACAATGGGTAGCGATTTTCCTTTCGAAAATTGATAGCGTTTTGCTTTCTCTAATAATTTCTGGCAAAGAGTTCCATATGAAAGCTCCGTCATACATGAAACTCTTTTTTTAAACTGTTCTAACGTGCATGCTTTAGCAACCGTAATGTGGTTGAGCTGTCACGGAAATTATGATTTAATATTTCATTTTTGAAAATGAATAAGTCTTTGAGGCAATTTGGTCCCACATATTATGAAGTATCTTAAACATCGTTTTCGTTTTAGTTTTTAATCGTTGTTCTTTTAATGTTTTCCATCGTAATAAATCCAATACAGTTTGCTGATCAACATCGTTCGGTACACTTGCTATGACGCGAGCTGCTCTGTTTTGAAGCTTTTGCAGACGTTTAGATTGGGTTTCGCCAAATACATCCCATACTTCACAACAATAACTGAAATAGGGTTGGATCAAAGCATTGTATACCGATATATATATGAGTGTTTTATATGAACAAACGTTTTAATTTGTTTGAGAGCATATATCCCAGATGATATTTTACTACATATACTCTGTGTTACTTTTCCAAGAAAGATTTTCGTCAACAGTAACTCCTAGAATTTTGCATTGGAAAACTTGCTTTATTGGTTTATTTAGAATAGTAACTACTGGCCGGTAATCACTATTTTTTTTAAGCATATGTTTAGTGACAATTAATTGAAATTCAGTTTTCGCTACGTTTAAGCTCAGTTTATTTGCCATAAGCCACTTTCGAAGTCTTTCTAAATCCGAATTTACTGCAGATTCAATATCATTCATGCAATTTCCAGATGCTGTAATATTTGTGTTGTCTGCAAATATCCGGGGTCTAGTTTCATTTAGACAAGATGGTAGATCGTTAATATATAGCAGAAAGAATAATGGTCCCAATATGGAGCCTTGGGGTACGCCGCATTTTACAATATTTTCTTTAGAAGTAGAGCCGTTTATTTCACATTTTTGGGTACGATTGGATAAATATGATTTTAGGAGTTGAAACGCACTGCCCGTAATTCCAAATAGTAATAGCTTTTCCAATAACTAATAAGATTTCGTGGTTAACAGTGTCGAATGCTTTTTTTAAGTCTATGAATACAATCAAATTGAACAATTTTCGATCCATGTTTAAATACCAACCATTTGTACAGTCAAGTAAGGCTGATGCAGTCGAGTGAAACTTTTGGAAACCAAACTGATGTTCTGAGAGGTTGTTTAGCGACAAATACTCATATAGTTGATTATATAAAATACGTTCCATAACTTTGCTTATGGCAGGCAGGCAGGCAGGCAGGCAGGCAGGCAGGCAGGCAGGCAAGACAGAGATTGGACGATAATTTCCAGCCAAATTACGCTTGCCATTCTTAAAAAGGGGGGTTATTCTTGCAACTTTCCATTCATTTGGAAATGTACATAGAATAATTGATTGGTTAAAAATATAGTTTAATGAATCGGAAATAACTGGGGCTGCTATTTTGACAACCTTGCTAGAAATCTTATCTAATCCAGTAGCTTTGTTGCCAGCTAGTTGAGATAACAAAAAACAAACACGGTTTGTAGTAACTGGTTTGAATGAAGTAAATTCAGATTCAGCTTTCTTAAGGTAGTCCTTAAAATGACATTCAGTTGTATCAATTTCAGCTGCTAAGTTAGGTCCAATATTTGCAAAGTAATCATTGAAACCTTTTGCTATGTCTTCAGGGCTTGTTAGTTTTACATTATTTATATTTAGTTCATTCACTTTAGTAGGTCTGTTTTGCTCACCAATTAAACTATTAATTGTCTTCCAAGCAGCTTTCGGATTCTGGTTCTCAGAAGAAATTTTATTGGTGTAATACTCCTTTTTGGCCAGTCTTAACTGAGTATTTGTTTCATTCCTGGCTCTTTTATAGTTTTCCCAATCGGACTCAAGTTTCGTTACGATTGCTCTTCTTTCAATTGATCCCTTATGATTATCATTTGTTTGATATGATTAGTAATCCAAGGTAGTTTTTTAGATTTCATCTTTTTACTTTGAAGAGGGGCATGTTTATCTAGAACCTGTAAAAATAGCTCTTTCCAAATTTGCCACATACTGTTGGGATTGTCTACAAAAAAGTAGACATTCTCCCATGACTGGATTTTAAGATCATGCAACAACTTATTTTCGTTGAAGTTTTTCATATTCCTAATTTCAATAATATTTTCTTTATCTTTATGGTTTATATTAATCTTCCTCATAGCATAAATGAGACTGTGGTCACTGATTCCAGTATGAATCACGCCACATTTAGAATTTTTTTCAGGTTCATTTGTAATAAAGTGATCAAATTGTTATTCTAATGAGGTTAACAGCCATCTTCCCTTCGATAGGCTATCGTGAGACTGAAAACTGTGTGTTCAAGAAGATTCGCCAGTCAGTCACAATTACTAATTAGTGCAAACACCAAATCAGTTAAGCTCAGAGAAGGTTCAAGTACCTTGATATAGAACAAGGCATTCATTTTCTAGTCCTGTCGATAATCACAAAACGTCAAAGAGAAATTGAACCTTGGCAAGTTAGCACGTGAACGACTGTTGCAAACTTGGGTTTAATCTATACAAATTGTCCAATGAGGAGAGTAGTAATATAGGTACCGTTCAGGCCCGATTTTTGCGGTGGTGGAGTGTGGTGGAGTGAGGAGGAGTGAGTGAGGGTGAGTGTGGTGGAGTGAGGGTGCGTAAGGGTGCGCTAATTAATTAACATACATCCACGTAATATATGCAATGACGTCACGCGGGCATGTTCGGGCGAAATCGGTAAAACTTGCTGACTAGACATTTTTTAGTGTCCCTCCACGTGTGTGATACAATAGAAGGATTAAGATTGGCTTACTATGATTGGTTGTTTGATTTAAGAACTTTTATACAAGTGTCTGTATAAAATCGACAAGAGTCTTGCAATAAGCATAGTTCTGCATTTGACAACGCTTAGTTCTACAGGGTGTCCAAAAAAAAAGTGACACTATAGAAATTATCTCATTGTTCTTAAGCCGCTCTTAAACGCGCGTGATTACACGCCTGGGAATTTAATGAACTTGTATTTACATTTAAGCATTTTAAAACGTTTTCGCTTTGTCCAAATATTTTAACGCTCGTATTTACATTTAAGCATTTTAAAACGTTTTCGCTTTGTCCAAATATTTTAACGCCCGAGTCAAGCAAAACGATTACATTAATAAACGGTTTGCTTTTTTACTTTAAATTTCAGAAGCAGAAGTTTATGCACCTGTGGGATCAACTTAGTGCTAGGGCATTCAAATTATAACAATATGATAATTTCTATAGTGTCACTTTTTTGGGGGACACCCTGTACATCAGGCATGGCGTGTCTACACGGTAAAGCCACGTCTTACAATTTATTGGAAGGAATATATGCGAATGCAGTCGCACATGAAGTGGAAAGACATTGTGTGGAATCCTGTAATGGTTGTCAAGTCGGTCATCCTAGTCAAAGACAACATGACTGCCTCATGATGAACGAAAACGAACGATGGCAAATGTATGGTTTACAAGCGATCGAACGAGTGAATGGTAAGCGTATGATTTGGAATGAATTCGCTGAGGCAATGAGGGTACTAAAACTAGCAGTTGACAGAGATGTTCTCGAACATTTACAGCAACCGGAAAAAGATCCAGATTCTACGTTTGTCGATTCATTGATGGAACTACATCACAACACTGAGAACCACGAACTACAATGTATACTGAACTATTTGTTTCATTGGAGATTAGAAGATCCGCTCGAGTCAGCAGCTGAAGCGTTTTCTCTTGCCCACCGAGTTACATGTATTCTGTGAAGGTGACGGGTCAGCGATTTAGAAGTTTTGAGGCAGATCATAAGAAAGCTTATCAAGAACTCATGGAGAAAAAACTTTTAGAACAGTTGTGATACATTTTGCCATAAAAATACGTTTTTATCAAATATGTGGTTGTTATATGCGTTGCTATGTGTTACCACCAGTCATTAGCGACGCTTGGGTGCATGCATATATTAATGTACAACATATTTGTACACCAATCAGGCGGGCGGGTTAGGCAAATCGCGCGGGCGGAAAGACCGGGCTTTGCAGGCAAAAGCTTGCACAAGATTTCAGTTTTAAAGTACATTTATTCCCTCAAACGTTTTACAAAATTTAGTACGATCTACTTCTAAGAGCGTAACGCTTAGGTGTTTTTGTTATCTTTAAAGAATTCTCATATTCTTGTCTGTCTTCCGAAGGTCTTTTTTGAAGGTTTATCGGGAGTTGGGAGAAGGTTAGAGAAATGGGTTAGGGGAAAATAGGTACCACATAGGATCGTATTTCATTTTATTTTTATAAATCAAACACAAGCAACCGTTAAGAGTCAATGTCACTAGGAGACTATATGTGTTTCTGAAAAGTCTTTTCAAAAGAAATTTTCTCTTGTAAACAGTGACCTCTAACTCTTCTGTGGTCGAAATTATCATCGTTAACAAAGACATTCCTGATTTCCATAACCTTTTTGTGTACTGGATCCCTCTTTAGTTGTCTTATCTTGTTATTATTAAATTTATTACAAATGTGTTGAACGAGAAGTAATGGAGATATAAATTTTGTAGCGAGTGCGATGATTTGCCATTACAAATAATATAGCACACTGCTTATGTTACTATAAACGAAATAAAAAAAAGATGGTTTTACAAGTGTATTTTCAAAATATATAGTTTCATTGATAGAAACATAAATATTGTGATGGCAACGTTGTCAGGCTATTCCCACGCGTATAACACAAAGGTTGAAGTAATTAAGGGGGTTAAGGCGATACGAATTTGTATAACCAATAGGATCCTAATGTGCATAATAATGAGAGTTATATTCATAGTGATCATCTTATTGAATTCATTTTCCGAATGATCATATTAATTAATTCATAAGTGATAATTTTCCGAAGTTACACCGAGGATGGTAAAACAACGAGAGGTTTCCGACCTAGCGCCATTTTGTTTCGTGATGAAAATTTATTCCTGTTGCAAAACAAGGCGAGTGATTTTCAGAGTTAATTTATTCCTGAGTTAATTTATACCTAGTGAGAAACGGCTCGATTGTGCTTTTCATATTGCTTGTTATTTGGAAGTTCTTTTATTTCACCAGGGTCGATTACCAACTAATCGCCCGTTGGCAAGGGTCACACCCTTTGTCTTCCTGCCGACTACGCATTAGGCAAGTGCCTCACCGTACGTTAAATGATAGATTGCGCATGCGTAACCGATCAAAGCGTAAAAAGTGCGCATGTGCAACAAGCTTTTACATCCCACAAGCAAAGAAGCAAATGTTTTAGCTTACAATTCGCTGATTGCAAGTAGGGCATGTTTGTCCATTTTTAAATGGGAGCGCAACTATGCTATTACAAACTAATATTTATTTATTTATTGTGCTTCGCTTCCAAACATCATACAATAATTGCATTAAAGAAGCTGGGACACCACAACAGCTTAACACCAATTACAGTGGGCCCTTTACAAAATATCAATATAAATATAGAAAACAGAAATAATTAACAATTTTTCGCCGAAGGCTAGGTGATTATCAGTGAGTAGGGACAGAGACAAAGCTAAGTCGAAGTTTTCATTTAACAATAACCACCGAGCCTGAGGCGAATAATTGTTTTAGTATAATGTCATAGGTGATTATTTGGGAAAAAATTAAAATACACATTTCTTCGTCATTTAATACTCAAAACGACTTCGGCCGACATAATATTTCGAAAATCGCTTAGATGATTATCGCGTTATAATCACCTCAACATCAAACCAATCAGCGTGGAAAATTTTCAATAATCACCTATGTAATTATACTTAGTTTACTTAAGGTACGTTTACACCGTGATCCGCCGTGTACGACTCGTATTTTGGCGAATCCAATCGATTAGGCACGCGTCAATTGTGCATTCAAAGTTTCGCTTCAATTCAATTCAGATTTTTGGAATTGAGGCATCAAATGAATTTCATACACCAGAACCCGAATCGCACAGGACAAATCGCAATGTGCAAACGCCCCTCTAGTAATAGCAAGTTAATGGTCGGATGAGACTTCTGCATGTATTACATTTGACACAGACAGTTTTCCAAGTTCGTGGATCGTCAACGTTGTAGCAGGATCGTAATGCAGTCAAGTAGTATGCTAATATTGCTTTCTTAAATTGAATAAAAGATAGATTAATAAGCCTTAAATGCTCGGGGAGAGAGTTCCAAGTTCTAGTCGTTCGAAGAAAGAATGATCGATTATAAGTTGTTGTTTTATGTTTTCGTTAACGGAATGAGATTGCGTTGACATTAGCAGATGATCTTGTGACTCTTACAGGAGCAATACGTTCAGGTAAGGAATTTTGAGATATCGACACAATGCCAGTAATAGCTTTGAAGAAAAACATTAAGTCATGCCAATATGCGAGGGGAAGAAGCTCTGTCGAAATGAGTCTGTCTTTATAGGATACGTCACACATGAATGGGAGGCCTAGAATAAACTTTGAAGCTCGGCGTTGAACACGTTCCACTCGGTTGATGAGCTCCACCGACTGCGGCGACCACACTTGAGTGGCATAGCCCAGCGCTGGTCATACAACTGCCAAATACAATGCACGGCGAATCCTTTTATCCGTGATTTCCGTTGCAGATCTACGTACGAACCCGAGCATCCTATTAGCTGCGGCACATCGATCTAGGGTGTGTTTGGACCATGTCAGATTACTAGTAACCCAAATGCCAAGATCCTTCACCTCTGTTGTTACTGCGAGGGTTTTGTTTTTGAGGGTGCAGGGGAATTCGGTGGTAGTCTTTTTCCTGGTAATTCTCTGACACTTGCATTTATTTTGATTAAATACAAGTCCAGAAGAAGTCGACCACTCCTCAAGATTATCAAGATCACTTTGAATCGAGGCACCGTCTATGTGAGAATCGACACACTTGAATAATTTTGTGTCGTCAGCAAAAGAAACTACTTTTGCATTATTCACCACATCTGGTAGGTCGTTAACATAAAGGAGAAAGAGTATTGGACCCAGGATAGAACCTTGAGGGACACCAGACATAACAGGTTTTTCAGATGATGTAGCCCCTAGAACAGTCACGCGTTGCCTTCTGTTCAACAAGTAGGAGGAGAACCAACCGAGTAAACTACCAGAGATGCCAAAGCAGTTGTAAAGTTTATGAATAAGAATTTGGTGGTTAACTTTATCAAAGGTTTTGGACATATCCATATAGATCACGCTAGTTTGTTTCCCAGCGTCCAGTTTACCCTCGGCAAGTTTGCGGAATTCCCTCGTGCTTCGCCCTCGGGGATTCCGCAAACCTGCCTCGGGATACGGGGTCATTTAATCACTAATCTCCCTCAAGCCATGCTATTACTTATAAATATTGTACCAAAAAAAGGCAAAGCAATGGAATACCATGCCAGAAAGTGTGAACGATGTGAAGAATTTAGCCCGAACACTACAGAACTACCACTACGTTATACAAGAAGAGAAAGTTCGATGGACTTTGAAGATTCTAGATGCGATAGATGTTTGTTCGAAATAGATCGACAAATATTTGATGTAGAAGAAATAAAAATGTGGAACATAACTTGTGAACATGATAAATGTACTGAACCAGCAAACTTTTATAATTGTGGGTGGAAGTTTGTATGTTGTATTTGCTATCTGCGAACGTACTGTCATATTCATTGTCGTGCATGCAATATACCACGTAAATGTAGAGACGATGATTGTATTGTAACATTAGCAAACGCTAACAAAATGTGTTATTATTAACTGTATTACAAACGTGTTTCTTTAACGACTTTGCCCAAATGCCTTAAGGATGTTTGTAAAGGCAGATCTAAGATGCGTTGCACTTCTTGGGTTCGAACCCCACTCCGGGTAAAATATTTTTTCTTTCTTTGAGCTCCATAATTCGATTTAAATTGCTTAAGCAGGGTGTATGCCTTAAAATCAGGCGTGAGGTTTTGCGGGCATAAATTCTTCGCGGGTTAAGGTAATTAACAGGATTAGGCGAACAGGGATTCGCATAACTAAATGAGTCCAATGGATAGATAGGGATATTACATCTTTACGTGTTTGGGGTGATTCGGTTTTTATATCAAGCAAACCGTAATGCCTTGGTGGCCGAATCTTATGGTATTAGGAGTTGTCCCAAAATAAGTTTCGAGTCCCATCCTATATAATATAATGTATGTAATGTATAGTAGAGTTATAGCTATATATCTTCGCTTGGATTTCCACAGATATTTGGAAGGGTTTTTCCCATGCTTAAAATACCTACTTGCAATAGCTCAGTCGGTAGAGCGAAGGACTGTAGTTCCTTAGGTCGTTGGTTCGAATCCAGCTCGCAAGATTCAAAAAGTGGACGTTGGTTTTGACGGGGTGGTCCTAAAATCGGGTGCGTGACTTTGCGGGAAGTAAATTTCATAAACAAGACTAGAATACTAGGGCGAGGGTGTTAAAACTGAAGCTTGATGTGAATTTACTCGAACATTTACAACAAATGGAAAGAGATCCAGATTCTAAGTTTGTCAATTCGTTAATGGAATTGCAACAAAACACTGAGAGCCACAAACTTTTGTGTATGCTGAACTATTTGTCCCATTGGAAACTAGAAGATCTACTCGAGTCAGTAGCTGAGACGTTACCTATACCTAGTTACAAATATTCTGTGATTAGAACGTTTCTTTTTAACTAAGCAACAAATATATTTTGAAGATATTGTATACGTGTTGATATGCATTTCTAGAGTCCAAGTGATTAAGGACCTCAACAAATTTACATACTTCATACAATCCCAAGTGATTTTTACTTAGGAATCGAATTATGTTTTATTCTTTTCGACATTTGGTAGCTCTTAAAAGAGATATATTTTTTTTTTATTCTTGGTTTTGTGTTTCGTCTCTTTAGACACCAATCCAGTGGCAACCGCAGAGCGTGGCCCAACCACCACACTCCACGTGAACCGACTCACCCATTTCCAGTGTTTGAAAACGTAACAGATTCACACACGCTGAATGTACTGTCGAACGGCAACAACTTGTTTTCATGAGCTGTTCTTCAACCTGCTTAAAACGCAGGCAGAGAAAACAGAAATTCATCTCAAAGTAGTCCCTTCGACAATACGCACAGCGTGCTGTGTGGTTATCGTTTTCAGACGCGGAAACGAATAGCGAGCTCTCAAAGCACGCAAAGTGTACCGAGTGGCCACAACACGGTGTCTCTGTCACAAAACGTTCGTTTCTGGCGATGTCTGTGAGGCAGAAATGACAGGTCTCACTTTCTCTTGGTGAATCTTCTGACGTCGCTACAACTCCAAACAGACGCAACCATCTTGACGGGAGGGAGTAATCTGGTGCTGGTAGAATTCCGACATATTCCATCTTGAGTTTACCTTAGCATAGAAGTTAGAAAGGATACCTCTATTTATACACCCCTATTAACATAATTATAACTTCCTTTCAGTCTCTATTAATTAGCATCTGCCGGCAAGATGAAAAGTGTTAAATAGCCAGCGCCCACATTGACCAGTGTGTGACCATCCTTATGTTTCTATCAATGAAACTATATATTTTGAAAATACGCTTGTAAAGCCCTCGTTTTTTATTTCGTTTAAAGTAACATAAGCAATGTGCTATATTATTTGCAATGGTAACTCATCGCATTCGCTATTAATAGTAAATCACATTCTGTGTAAAGTAATTATATTCCCTTAAAATTTATAAAAAAATACGGACATATCTCAAGATGTTTCTGTACCTGGCAGCAACGCATGGCAAGCCAATATTAATCCCTCTATTGTATCACACACTTGGAGGGACGCTAAAACAATGCCTAGTCAGCAAGTTTCACACGATTTCGCCCGAACATGCCCGCCTGACGTCATTGCATATATTAAGTGGAGGTATGTTAATTAATTAGCGCACCCTTACTCCACCACACTCCTCCTCACAGTATGAATATTAATTAGCGCACCCTCAGCACCCTTACTCCACCACACTCCACCACACCCCTCCTTACTCCTCCTCACAGTATGAATATTAATTAGCGCACCCGCAGCACCCTTACTCCACCACACTCCACCACCGCAAAAATCCAGCCCGAACGGTACCTATATTACTACTGAGGAGGATATATGTCACCCCCATGCATACATACATGCAATGGTCCTTTTAATTTTATTTGAAAGTCATTTGGATAGTTTATGCGTGCATAAATTTCAGTCAGCAACTGAACCTTTAGACGTTTGTTTCAAATCTCGTTATTTTAACATTTTAAACTTCACAACATTATGGACATGGTTACAGTTATTGGATTCAATTAAAAATCTTTAAACTGTGAACATTGATCACTTTAATTTAATTTAATTAAAGAATGATTGTATCAAAAAGGTGTTGCATAATAAATTAAGTATCGCTATGAATGCATTCTCGCGCATAAATCCTTATTTCTAATATTGTTAAGTCAAGTTAGGTTAAGTTAAGTTAAGTTAAGTTAAGTTAAGTTAAGTTAAGTTAAGTGTTAGATAATTAAAACGCGTTATTCATTTTATTTTTGTGTTACGTTTTTTCTTTAACATTCTTGATTTATTCCAGTCAAACACCAACTGCAACAAAGTTTAAAGTTAGTATGTAGCTAAGGATCCCTATTTACCGGGATGGGCTTTTTACCTGAACGAATTCGCAACGGGATGAAAATAAACAGAAAATATTTTTGGACCTGTCGGAATTACAAAACAGGCGTTCAGGCAACGCAGCAACACCTGGCAGGCATGGATGGATTGATGGCGCAATGGATCGTTATATTAAAAAACTGGGTCATTACATTAAACACAGTATATGGGGCCTAATATCTTCGGTTTTGTCCAACAGGTTATGGTAAAATGGTGCGCGCACATATTGAGTCGCCATCACCGCAATAATTACATTCGTTTTCGTTTTATATAAAGAGTGACGCAGAGCATTCTGGGAGTAAAGTCAGGGCAAAGCCATAGGTTCTTTAGTAACAAGCAGACAGCGCACAACTGCAGACAGTGCAACATTGATTACGGTTTCCAAGTTTTTTCGACCCGGACTCATGCAAACAATGCTGAGATCAGTTCTATGATGGGCATAATCCAGATTAGAATTTGAAGTTTCCTAGTTAACAACAATTAGCCTTTCTCACGATGACGAATACCCGCCATTTTTGGGTAGCATCCAATTCTCGTTAACCAATGCAGACAATTAAAACAATCTGAAAAGCAACTTTTCAAGATAAACTAACCATTCACAAAGCAAATTTACCATCATTTGTCCAAAAAATTATAAAAAGTCGCTGTTATGTGGACTTATCTCGCAGACGTCGGCTGAAATGCCACCCAAAAATGGCGGCGTGAGAAAGGCTAATTGCATGTGAAATCTAAATCATTCCGTACTTTCACAGGTTTTCATACATTCGTGCATGCGTAATTAAAAGGTCACTATCCGGTGCGTGGATAGACAGAGCGCTATCCGGCCTTCGTACGACTGGCCCTTGTATCATTTCGATAGGGTCGGACTACCTTACCAGTGTTCGCTGTGGATGATGCAAGCCGATAAACTTGGGTGTCGTAACTAATAACATCCTAACATTAACATTCACCTTAACCCTACCCTGCGAGGGCGGTCTCGCACGGGCTACCTTAACCCCCACAACGAACGCCCTCGAATCAAACCGATTTCGACATTTATTCCCGCTCATAATTTGTCACGGATTGGTGTGTGGCAGGGCTTTCATAATTATAATCTTTCTAAGTAAGCGGTCTATGTAGGAATATTTTTACGATCTATGTAGGAATATTTAAACTAAGTCTACGGAAATAATTTATGAATTAGCCTTTCTCACGAAGGTCTAAATCCGCCATTTTTGGGTATTATTAAATTTATAAACAACGTGAAAAATCTACGCGATGTGAAAATATTTTTTCAAATATTTAACTGTAAATCGATTTATATATAATGATTATACTTACAACTATAGTTATGGAAAGTTTCATTTTTACTGCTTACCACCCCTATTCTAAAAAGGTTGCCACCAAAAATGGCGGCGTGAGAAAGGCTATAAATATTGTCACTTTCTTGGTCAATTAGCTGAACAAGGCTCAACAAGCTAAGCTGAGTTGCAGTATAAACGCAGATTTGAATGAGCAGTGAAATTTCCAATAAACATTTCTCCTTCATGGCACTGGTAGTGGGAGTTAGTTCTTGGTTTTTAGACAATGGTTAAACTTACAAATCTGATTTTATTGTTGCTAATCCTTTGCATTGCTTGAAAAAGAGATGAATGTACCCGCCAGAGTCTCCGGCGGCCGCCAGCTTGTTTTGAAAACCCTGGGTGAGGTGTATAAGCATCTATATCATGCATTTAGCACAAACCTGGTCTAGCTCAACTTGCAAACTCCTTAATTTCTCCTTCAGCTCGAGATCTTCTTGCATTTTTTGTCGTAACTCAGTTTTATAATTGCTCACTTCTCCTTCTGAAACACGAGCATCGGTTACCAACTTCTCAGCCTCACTGCTCAACGCACGAAACTGTTCGAGAAGTTCTTCTTTTTCGTGGTCCTAAAGCACAAGATATCGTAATGACCGCGGTATCATGACACATATACAAGCGGTTACATTGTCATTGAGTCAGTAGTTCAGGCCCTAAAATATCGGTCGGTATATCACGGTAATATCACGGACATTGTCCCACCCATTCGTGAAATTGTCCGACGTAGAAAAACAGGTTTGTTGTTTGTCTGTGAAACAGAGGTTTATTGTTTGTCTGACCCAAGTGTTTGGTGTCCCGAACTGTAGCTTTGTCCGACGTAAATCAAAATGTACCCTAGTCCAGGACTAGAGGCTCGTATGCTAAATGTAAATTGGAGAATCAGAGTAATGTATAAAAGATGAACTGGAAATGTTGTTTCAATGCAATTGAGCGCTGGGCGGCGAGCAACTGAATGGTGAAGTGGAAAACTGGCTTAAGTTGTTGAAGTCTTACTGCTGTTATTGACAGCAAGTTAGTTTTGGCTTGGAAATAAGTATGAATGACACATTTTATTTAATATCTTCACAGCATTTTGTTCAGAATTAATACATTGTGCTGATACTAATTTGTCTTATACTTCAGACTTATTTCCGAACCAAACTGAACTGAATGAAGGTCATGCATCGGACATCATCATACATATGTCCGACCCAAACTCGAAGTCATCGGAGATTTTGTCAGACGGGCCTGTAAAAGATATTTTAGGAGCTGTAGAATAGCTCGACAAACCTTGCCAGATATTGGCAGGTATTTGCGATGTTTTAAGTATTTTCCCATGTTGCATGTCAACATTTTTTTTTTACTATAATAAATTCAACATCACACAGTCTGTACAGACTTTACTTCTGCTTCATGCATGACAGGTGAATATTTGCTAAAGCACTATTTTTCAGAAGCAATAACATGACAACTGCATAGTTCTTTGTCCAATCTCATTTCCAACTCCTAACTTATCAATCATTTTGACTTCAATATTAGAATAAGACAAGAGAACATCTTCAAATTACTATGTATAATCCTGATCGCGCTTGTAGCGACTATATATACAATTACTTTTCTTTCAAGAAGTACATGTTGTGCATCTGAAACACAGACAAAATCTTCATTAGGAGCAGGTGTACTAAAAGTATTTCGGAAGTAAAGAGGTCTATGCCAAGAAAAACATAAAAATAGATGCATGAAATTCTCATAAATGTTTCTTGCAATCAATTCAAGTACAAGTGCGAAAATTCTAACTGGAATTTATGCATGTTGAGGTCGTTAAGAGTGACCTAAAACTAAAACTTCTGCACAGTATCTTCTGCATGATATTGTATAAACTTGATAGCCCAAATCGCACTAGACCATGCATGAACATAGAGAAATGGATATAGGAGGAAGAGAAAGACTGAAAGACTTGTAACATCTGTCATTGGATGTTGACCCTTCTATTGTTTAGCTTGCGAAAAGTGTATCTTATAAGAGTTGTTTGAAATATAGCGTAACGGTATTTAAATGAAACACACAATTTGTATAGATAATATGGTATGGTTTGGAGTGCAATTTGGAAAAAGACTATAAAAATTTGAAATCTTCGAAAAACTCACGAGTGTATGTTTTTTCAAATTACACGAGAAACCATACTATTACTTATTAGTAAAATACATGAAAAAATTATGCGGTCACTCCTGAAAACTTTTATTATTTCTGCTAGAAATTGCGGTATCTTATTGACTATCTCTGTTATTGTTTATATTTTAAGCCAATCAGAAAGCCAAATAGTCAATTGCACTGTATTTCTTTTTTTGCACTGTATTTCATTTTTTGGCACTGTATTTCGAAAATAATGCACTGCTCTTAGCCAATTACTCAGAATTGAGAAATGTGTATTATTAAGTAAGAAAACAAAGCCATTCCCATTAACGTCTTGTTATGCGCAATACAGTGGGTCGACAGAAAAAGAGAGATGTTGAACAAGTCTAAAACTACACCAGCATGTGGTAAATATTCAATTACGAGCGAACGTTTATACCTTTTGAGCCAGCAATTCCTCAAATCTGGCAACTTGTATTGTGTACTCCCTAATCTGGATTTTGAGCGTTTCTTGCTCTTGCAGTGATTGTTCCAATTCTTGATGAATAGCCTAGAATAAAAGAAAAATTTCACTTTGAAAACAACAATTCAAAACTTATACGGGTTATCACTCATTATCGAATCTCCCACACTAACTCCCACGCCTATATATCCCTGTCATTTACGCGCTCCCTATATATGCACCATATTAGGATGCAATCACCTACAGTCACATGATCATACTGCCAAATAAATCCCACTCCACCCTTACCATCACCATCTAAACTCTCTATACATGCACCTGAGTGAGTTACTCATTTTGGAGGATCAATATAGATTTACTCGACTAAATTGTAACAAAAAGGAGTGAATAATGTTGGATTGTACTGTCATAACAAGACCTTTGGCAGGATTATTTACAAATTGATTTTTCCTAACTCCGAAACTCTCCTTCCTTTCTCTATTTTTTAATCTCTAGTCTCTACCTACACCCCTCCTTAAAAGACCCTGTTGGAGAAGACTATTAGATTGAAATGTATGCAGGGTTGTCTTTCCTGTTTCAATCTCTCGCACTTAAATCGTCTTCTCTTTTTATCATGTCCCAGAAATATTTCACCTAAGTTTAGTTCCTAATTGTAGTTTCCCTAGTTTTATATAATTATATAATTATATAATTATATAATTATATATATATATATATATATATATATATATATATATATATATATATATATATATATATATATATATATATATATATATATATATATATATATATATATATATATATATATATATATATACCAAATAAATATGTATTTAGAATCATATATGAGTAGAGTGCTCGATATACCGAAGTATAGAGCTAATATAGATAAAGATAAAATAAACCTGGTTTACTTCATAAGATTTATTCACTACAACCTTGTTTCGTATGACAAGCAATGCTTGCCACACTCATCAGGTGAATTTAAATGTCGCGCTATGTTGTTGCCAAGGTTATATATACTATATACATGTTTGACGTAAACGGAATGTTCAAGTATTAAATTACGTATAGATTACATATATATACAGATTATATTCAGTAATGTATATTGCTTAAGAGAAATTTGTTTCTATGTCTGCATTTCGACAAAAGTTCACTTCTTGAATTTAAAGAACAAAGTTCAGGGTGGTAGATTATGATGAATTTCTCATGTGTACAAAGACTGCAGCGTTTCGTTGTGTTGTTGTAGCTCTTGCATTGCTTAATAATACGCCAGTTTATGGAGTACTTGACCTTCGACTCTTTAAGTTGCCAGATGTATTTGCTCAGCTCTGTGGCATTTCTATACTTGCTTAATCTGAATGAGCTGGTGTGGCAATAATATCTGGATTTGAACTGTCCTTCAGTATGTCCGACATACGATTCCTTTTGATTCGTATCGTTCCTAACAACCGTTGCTTGGTATACTACGCTGGATGTTAGACATTTACCGGGCAGT